ATTATGTAGGAGATATATATAAAAGCGCTAGCCATTCTTGCTATAATAGTTCGAAAAAAGATAATGTAAAATTAATAATTTGAAAATTTCATTCAAATTACTCTATTGCGAGCGAAGATATTAGCCTTTGAAGGTTTGACAAGTCATGTGCAATAATTTCAACCACCGTACTGGTTGTTCGAAGCTAAGTCACGCTCCTCCAGTTTTAGCTTAAATCAAAATATGGCTGAACTGTTCTAATCTATTTAATATCGGAGAAATCCGCTAAAAATATTACTTTCTTATTTAAAACAAACAAGAAAATAGAAAAATAAGCAACAAATTTGTGGAAAATCGAAATGAATCAGTACAAACAAGCAATTGCTTGATAACGATACCTGTAAGAGTATTGAAACGTTGCATGTAATAAACTAAGAAGTAGTAAATCTATAAAGTTGTGTTATTATGAATATAGTAACAAATAGGTCCGAAATTGAAATAGATCAGTTGAATTAAATTTTGCCTGTATTTGTTGCAACCAAACAAGCAAAGGAAATTCAGTAATAAATTTAATTTTTCTGGTCGCGTTGTGAGGGGTTCTAAGTGTAATCTAAATAAACACGAAAATTGAATTTTACTTTATACTGTGGTACGTAAATTAGATTTTTACGTTATATGATGCAAGCAAACAAAAAGCAAAAAACCAACAAATGAAAAGAAGAAAAAAGCACCCTCCCCCCAAAGGAAAAACCACGAAGCAGAGAATAAATTGCCAACAAACACCATTAAAACATCAACCAATATTAGACATTACACTAGAAAGGGGTTGGATGGTCGAATGGTTAGCATGTGTGCGCTGTATCATAAGGTCTGTCATTGAGTCAACTGGTGTGGTATCGATTCTCCGGTTGTACGTGACAAGGAGTAGGGTCGCTGGTCCAACCTCGTGGGTTTTCTCCGGGTCTTCCGGTTTCCTCCCACTGCTAATTAAAGACCTCTGCGCGCAAGTGAATTATTGAAATAAAATTGAACAATGTGTTAGTCCTAAAATGCAAAATGACCTAGTTTGTGTCGAGTGGACTTTAAACCTCTCTCTCTCTCTCTCTCTCTCTCTCTCTCTCTCTCACATTCACATGAGACTAGAACATACATGTATGTGTATTTCCTTGATCGAACAAGTCTACAGTAGAAATTGTTTTCTTAATGGCCGTATAAATTTGATATTGTTGTTAACCAATCTAATATTGTAATATCATCCAATGGTATTCCATATGATATCCCGCAGGAATTTTATACTCGCACTTCTATCCAAATGTTGAACACAAAATCCCCCCAAACCCTCCAAAACATATATACTCTAGTTTGATTAGATTTCGTTACCATAGTTACAGCAGATAGCTCAGATACCACTGTTATTGTGTGAAGGTTTACACAGAAAAAAAAAATGGATGACATTCTTAAATCAGAATATAACAAACTCGAGAATACTAGAAATACTGAATAGTAGAAAATAGTTCATGGCTGCAAAAAAAAAAATGGAGGACACTCTTCAATCAGAATATAATGTAAACAAGGGGTTTTTTTGTTTGTTTTTTTTAACAAACCCTGGAATACTAGAATTAATGATTAGTAGAAATATAGTTTATGGCAGCTTTGTATGAATTAGTACCATACGTCGGAATTCCTGCGTCTGCAGAAAAGTGCACCTACATATGATGCAATTGATACTGATGAATGTAGAGAATTCACAACTGGTATATTGTTTTAGCTATCTTAAAGTGATGCAGTTTGCATCGGCTTTAAAATTACCAGGTGCAGGACTTAGTGCCCCACAATGTGGCAGCATGTAAAAGATCCCTAAATGAATAGTAGGTCATAGCGCCACTGACAGGGCAGCCCCTCATAACTCACTATCGACATGTTATTTTATGTTTAGGATCTTTCAATATGACAAAAGTTTTCTAAAACAAGATATAATGTTGTTTTAAAGAAAATTGGATGATTAAGATTATGTATTTATCTGAAGTGCTACTTTAAATCCTAATTGGCCACGATGGTGAACTCAGTTTCTTAATTCTGTTCTTGAACAATTATATTCAAACACACAATTGTCTATAATTTACTGAAAATAAATTTTGGTACAGTATATGATTTATTGTAAATGCATTAAATATTGGTATATAACATTGTTGCATTATTAAATAGTTATGTCGATATATGGAATTTATTTGGTTGTAATTCGTTCTTTACTTAAAGCTTTGTTGTGCTTTTAGCACAGTTGTATGAAAATGGATATGCAATGGTGTGAACCATCACATTAGGAAATGCATCTACAATCAGACTGCACGCCAAGGGCATTATAATACACTATGAAATATCAGAAAAGGCCATCAGCTATACATGTACTTAGTATTAATTTGAAGTATGGTATCTTTATTGATGCATACCACTTAAATTGATGAAGAGCTTGTCAAAATTACTTGATATAATTGTAATATGAAAGGTCAAAAAGATGGCCATTCACAAAATGTACAATCCTGTATATCTACCTCATTTTTAGGGGGTTTTTTTTGTCCCATCCGATCAGCTAGACACTACTGTTTCTTGTTAGTCCTTCCGGCCTATAACACTGGCGACGGGGAAACAATGGCGGAATATTCTGAGGAGCTTTCTCGGCCAACATCGGATGCGAAGTCGAGACTTCCATGTTTAGCGAGCCGCCGTCTTACTCACTTAGCCACTGTAGCTCCCAATGTTTGTTAAAATTGTTTTGTGATATTGATATGTGAAAGGGTGGGGTGGAAGGATATTAGGAGCGAACAGGTGTTAAGTGTGTGTTTACTATGGAATACAGGCTTGAAGAGCAGACGTGAGATTGAACTGTACATTTATAGAGTAGGGAGGTGTAGCAGAGGTTTATAAATAGATAAACATTCAATCGTTTCTTATCGCTAAAGGCAGGTTTCAAATTATTTATTTACTATAAGATTCGGCATTGTACTTGTAGAAAAAAAAAAGTGGAGCAGCAAACATGCTATAGCCTATTCACTATTTGTGCTCTCTGCCCTGGAGAAGACAGCCCCCAGAATAAATAAACAAACACAAGATGATTCGTGTGAAATTCATTTATTAAAGATACATTATGGGAGATTTGATAAAGAGCTGACAGTTCTCACTATAATAGTTAAAAACTAGATAATGTAAAGGCAATTTGCTGAAAATTTCAGTCAAATTGATCCAGTCTGAACCGATCATCATTACTAAAGTCAGTATGATAAAAAAAAAAACATAGTCTCGGTCATCCATTTCATGATTAAATTATGAATGGAAGTCGAACAGCAAATCGGAACCTAATCCAATAAACATTGCAGGCTAGCGATGCCATCGAGAGTTGATTATGGTCTGGATAAGTTAATTAATGTCTAATTGATAATTTAGATAACATTTCAGTCCTAAAGGAAGACCTGCAATAGGTAGATTTAGCTCTTGCATAATGTATGTTTAAATGAAGCATTCATAACGTCATGTTATTCATTTTGATTTCTTTTGGTTCTTGTTGACGGATGTTCACAAGTTGTTTCTGAAATCTTTCAACTTTATTAAATGTCTGGAAAACCCCCCAAAATGATTGATTCACAAGTTTGAAAGTCATTTGCTGGATTTCAGAGCAACAAAATTATTGATTGTTCTCAAATTATACTCCGGCAATCCGTTCTGTCGATTTTCGTATCTCTATACCGATGGTCTGACTGAAACATGGCGATACTACCATAAATGATTTCATACTCTAGTTCAATTTGACATTTTGTTGTTCCATTAGCAGTGTATGATGGTATTTGCGTGAGATCATTTTCTATGTATGGAGTTTGGGACGATTACGCACCAAAATATTGATTTGCTCAAAAAGTATTACTTTCCCTAATTGTTTCCAATATTTTTTTTAAAGCATTGCAGGAGATTAATTTCTGATTTGTGCGTTTAGGATATTATTAAATAAAAACCACAAGATCATGCCTGGAGTTGTTTGTTTGCTTGATGTTGACCAATATTAACTGATCATTGAAATTAAATATATTATAAAATATATTATTTTATCATGATTTGTGGGGTTGGATAGCCAAATGATAAGTGCTTGCATGTTGTATCATAAGGTCTGTCACTGAGTCAGCTGGTGTGGTTTCGATTCCCTGGTTATACGTGGTAAGGAATAAGGAATAGGGTCGTCTGTCCAATCTTATGGGTTTTCTCCAGGTCCTCTGGTTTGCTCCCACTGCTAAAGGCCCCTACGTGCAACCTAGTTTGTGTGGAGTGAGCATTAAATCTCTCACTCCATATCCTCTGTGTCACCCATGTACATCTCTATTGTATGTTAATGTTTCGTGTAGGAGAAATACAAACAACAGTACGCGTGGCAACAACAATACCGATAGCGACAGCAGTGGGTCATCGAGACCAGACATAAACACTATTATTTCTCAATCATGTTAATATCTATGACAAATAATAAATTAATTTCTAAATCATTCTCTTCTACTTTTGAAGTAGAATATCCGGACACTATCTGGTTAAAACACAGGTCCTATTTCGTTTGATTTTTTTATCGTTCAGAATTTCGTTTTACTTGTTATATAACCCACGTTATATAAACCCACGTTCTGGTTGATGTGAGGGATTAGCCAATGAAATGGTCTGTAATGACGTGCTGTGTGCACGGAACTTTGGTTATCCCACTAGAAACATCAACGCTGATTTGTTAATCAACTGTCTGATGGCATATGGTTAAAAGCCACTATGACCCCTGACACGACTTTCCACTACAACCAGCCAGATCTTCATGTTGTGGAGGCCATCGAAAGTATAAAAAAAAACCAAACATAATATAGATCTGTATTGCTCTAGAATATGATGCTCCATGTTTTTATTCATCAAACTGTTTTTTCTATGTCTGATATTTTGTGTCCATTTTGATATCTAGTCATGAATTGATATCTAATTATACAATATTTTTTGTATATTTTCAGACCTGACCTTATACAATATGAAAAACTACAGAAATCTAACGCTGTACACAATCTTAACAATGCTTTTACCGTGGCTGAGGAAAAACTCAGTCTTACACCATTGTTGGAGGCTGAAGGTTTGTCTCTTTGTTTTTGTTTTTTTTTCAATGTTTTTTTTGTTTTTAATTCTTGGGAAATTTGTTTGTGAAATGTCCATTAAATGCTTATTGGTTAAATGTTTAACACATAGTTGGCATAGCCCTACCGGTAATTAATTGTACAGCAAAACGCAGACAAAACAAACAATTCGTCAGGGATACAGAAAATATAAATTGAAATAGCTGCATTGGTGACTATTTTGAGCTAGCATTGTTATAAATCATACATTTTTGTGTGAATAAGGCTTGAAAAGAAATTAGATCCTATGCTTTCATCTTTCATACAATTAAAGATGGCCTATTCTTTTATTTTTTTTTAATTCAAACTATGCTGATTACAATAATATTTGTATGAGATTTCCGAACAGGCAACGCCTATGTAAATTCCTCTGTCTTATAAACATACAGACATTATTGAATTAAGATTATTATTTAATGATGTTATTATAAACAATTGTAGGTATTATCTATATCTATTATCTCGGATGTTTAATTGTTTATTTTATTTATTTTCTAGACGTCAATGTGGACTTCCCCGATGAAAAGTCTATCATCACATACGTTGTTACATATTATCATTACTTCTCTAAGATGAAGGCTGATTCAGTCCAGGGAAAACGTATTGGAAAGGTAAGAGACATTTCTCAGAATTATAAACAGAAAAGTTGATGAACTTTGCATTTTGGGAGGGAGCCACAGTTGCTAATTGGGTAAGACTCTCGCTCGCTGGTCTGGAAGTCGCGTGTTTGATACCTGCATTGGCTAGAAAGGTAAGAGGTATCTCTCAGAATTATCAACAGAAAAGTTGGTGAACTTTGCATTTCGGGAGGGAGCCACGGTGGCTAAGTGGGTAAGACTCTTGCTCGCTAGCCTGGGGGTCGCGTGTTTCATCCCAGAATTGGCTGAGAAAGTTCATCAGGATTTTCCGGCGTGATTTCCCCTTGTCAGTGGTGCAGGGCGGAGGGGCTGACAAGGAAAGCTGTCTAGACATTTGGATGGGGTGAAAAACCGAGAATCTGTGCACATAAAAGATCCCTTGGCAGTTGGAATTCGACATAAGAGTAGGCCATAGTGCCTAGAATTTTTAATCGTGGTTTCCCTTTGTCAGTAGTCTAGTTGTTTGGATGGGACAAATAAAGGAGTTCCGATATACACTTTTGCATGCAGGGGTACCCTTCACAGTTATAATTCAATTGCTGTCAGGGCAAAATTTCCGTCATAGCACACTGCCTGGATTTAGGCCATCTTTAAAGCTTGGTCGGTGCCAAAAAGTAGGGTGTTATACCCCATTTCATTTGTTCATTAGTATGAAATGTCAAAAAATGTAGACTTTAACGAATGTTTTATATTTCAGGTCATTGATGGTTGTATTGATAGTGAGACTAATGTCCACGAATACGAGAGTTTGACCTCTGACCTGTTAGAATGGATAGAACAGACCATCGTTATATTAAACGACCGACAGTACGCCAACTCTCTAACTGGTGTTCAACAACAACTTGCTGCATTTAATACATACAGAATAGTAGAGAAACCCCCAAAGTAAGTAGTATTCTGGTCGGCCCTTTTCCAGTTAAATAAATTTCTCTTTAGGGACAGGGCAGCCTCTCAGAGAGAGAGAGAGAGATGGGGTTTACCGTCTACTTGACACAAACTTTACTGTTAAATATATTTCTCTTTATGGACAAGGCAGCCTCTCAGAGAGATAAAGAGAGATGGAGTTTAACGTCCATGCGACACAAACTTGTCATTTCGAGACTAACATATGGTTATTCAGAAATTCGCATGTGCATAGGGGTCTTTATCAATGGTTGGACAGGCGACCATACTCCTTGTCATGTCAGTTGACTCAATGACCCGCTATAACCATAACACATGTAAGAACAATTTATTGTGGTGACGTTTCGAAGAGTATTTTCTACACTTTTTCAAGCAAGCATGAGTTTCCATATTTTATAAAATGTGTTTTGTTGTATTTTTTTTTAGGTTTGATGAGAAGGGCAACTTAGAAGTCCTTCTCTTTACCATCCAAAGTCAAATGAGGGCCAACAATCAACGCCCTTATTTACCCAAAGAGGGTAAAATGGTTTCGGACATAAACAAGGCATGGGAACGGCTAGAACACGCAGAACATGCAAGGGAACTGTCCTTACGTGAAGAACTGATCAGGTTGGTTATTATTATCTTAATGTTATTCTAATTATAGCAGGGAGCCACGGTGACTCAGTGAGTAATTATAGTGGGGAGCCACGATGACTCAGTGCGTGATAATAGTGGGGAGCCACGATGATTCAGTGAGTAATTATAGTGGGGAGCCATGGTGACTCAGTAATTATAGTGGGGAGATATGGTGACTCAGTAATTATAGTGGGGAGATATGGTGACTCAGTAATTATAGTGGGGAGCCATGGTGACTCAGTAATTATAGTGGGGAGATATGGTGACTCAGTAATTATAATTGGGAGCCACGATGACTCAGTGAGTAAGACGTTGGCTTGCTAACCAGGAGGTTCCGTGTTTGATCCTTGTGTTGACCGAGATAGTTCATCAGGATTTTTTCGTCAGGGTTCCCTCTCGTCAGTGGTGCAGGGCCTCTGTCCGGGCAAAATTTCCCTCATAGCCCACTATATGGCATATGCTCATCTTAACAGTTAGACATTAAATAAAACCACATTCCATTTCAATATTGTTAATGCTGTTGATCCTTCTACTTTCATTTTTTGATCAATTTTGCCTGGTAAAAAATATTTAGGCTCAAATTCAATCAGATTAAAATGAGGGCCATCAAAATAAATTCATCCTGAATGTTTACAAATTTTCGATTCAACATATTTTTGTAAATACTGAACTGAATTGAACCAGATGGATTCATCTTTCATGATGAATGAAGATCATCGGCTTTAGTACTTTAATTCACCAAACAAAATTTCAATTTTTACTTGGAGTAAGTCATACAACTGTGTTTGAAATATCATATAAACAGAAAAAAATTATGTGAAGAAATGATTTATTAACTTTATACCCATTTGCTTTCAGACAAGAGAAATTGGAGCAACTTGCTGCCCGATTTGATAGAAAAGCCGGTATGCGTGAAACTTGGTTGAGTGAAAATCAACGCCTTGTGTCAACAGATAATTTCGGATCGGACTTGGCTTCCGTGGAAGCTGCTACAAAGAAACATGAAGCTATAGAGACAGACATTAACGCCTACGAAGAACGAGTGAAGGCTGTTAAAGCTGTAGCCAGAGAACTAGAACAAGAAAACTATCACGATATCGTGAGAATAAATGCCAGGTAGGTTTATAGAATACAGTACGGACATCGCGATGGTTTGTTCTGACACAATATTACCGTGTACTTACTTCTTTGTAAAGCGGCTCGGTGTGTAAGGCGCTGGCTTGCTAATTTCAAGGTCCCACGTTTAATTCTGGTGCAGGATGAAAGGCCTAGTAATTTGAATCGGTCGTAAGACTGAGGTCCCCTGCACAATTGATGTGCACGATGAGAACCCATGACAGCTGGAATTTGAAATAAGAGTAGACCTTATTGCCGATTTCCAAGCAAAATTTCCCTTGTAGTACACTGTATTGCATATGCCTGTCTTCATTGGCCCAGTTTGAGCAAAATGTACGATGGATTTCGCAAAAAGAATAGATTTACTAGTTTCACTCTCTTGGCACAATTTGCGTCATCGCCTACCTCATTCAAAGACGGGTCTTTGTAATAAAGGCCTAAATATTAATTTTGAAAGATAATATATTTATGTTTTTAACCATAAAGTATTTATTTATTTATTTTTTTCCTTTCAGAAAAGACAATGTTAATCGTTTATGGGATTATTTATTAGAATTGTTACGAGCTCGTAGAATGCGACTTGAATCAACTCTTAGTTTACAGAAAGTATTCCAAGAAATGTTATACATTCTCGACTGGATGGGTGAGATCAAAGTAAGTACACATTTGTTTAAAAGTTTGTTCGTCTACAAAGAAGTTTGCCATATTTTGTAATCACCCATGTCAGTCCGTGCACATGATGTAGTGTGGATGGCCAAATGGTTAGAATGTGCACTGCTGGGACCTCCGGTTTCCTATCACAGCTAAAGACCACCATTATTGAAATAAAATTGAATCCTATGTTAGTCCTGAAATGACCTAGTCTGTGTTGAGTAGAGTTAAACCGCATTCCTCTCTCTTTCTCTCTCCCATTCACATGTGTTTTTTGTTTTGGCTCTACGGACCAAGATACTTAAAAAGTGATATTGTTTTGAGGCTATATGACTCAGATTATGTCCAATCTTTACATAGTGTCAAGGGGAGCCATGGTAGTTCAGTGGTCAAGATCTTCGCTCGTCAACATCGAGGTCCCATGTTTGATCCCTACGTTGGCCGAGAAAGTTCAGGACCCAGGGTCTGGCAAGGAACAATGTATAGTTGTTCGAATGGGATGAAAAACCGAGGTCCTGTGTACACATTGGCAGTTGCAAATTACCGCAAGTTAATCTGTTACTAGTATTAGCGCTAAAGGTAAATTACTCCGACTGGTATAAGCTTATTGACACTTTCAGAGTATGATTTTTTTTTATGGTATATTTTAGGCTCGACTATCGTCAGACGATTATGGTAAACATCTGATGGGTGTCGAAGATTTACTACAGATACACAGTCTATTGGAGGCAGACGTCCACGTCGTAGGTGAACGTGTTAAAACCGTTAATGGTATGGCCAGTCGCTATGTAGACGGCGACATACCAGAACTCTCAGGTAATTATATTATTTGAAAGGTTTCCAACGTGTGTACTTTAGGTCATAAGGTCTGCCATTGACCCCACACTTGTATGTGACAAGGTGTAGGGTTGTCTGCCTAACCTAATGAGTTTTCTCAAGGTTTTCAAAAGACCTGTATGCGTAAATGAATTATTAAAATAGAATTGAACCATATAATTATTGGTATACTGGGGTATTTTTAAATGGGAATAGCGCTTAACTAGAAATATTTGTCTTAAACTTGAGATTTTTCTTTATTCATTTTCAAAACTTTCCAGAATACCTTTTCTGCAGAAAACTTTATGTAAACATATCAAGGGGAGTAACTCATGAATAAACTAAGGAAAAGGAAAATGAAATTTATTTTATGTCGTTCAGGTTACCATCCCTGTGATCCAGAAATGGTAAAAGAACGTACGACCACACTGGAATCAGCGTACGCAGAACTAGAACAGTTAGCGGCAGACAGACGCGCTCGTCTGGAAGAGTCGTGTAAATATTGGAGATTCTCATGGGAAATTGCAGATGAAGAAGGTTGGATTAAAGAAAAGGAACAACTTATGTCATCACCAGAGTTGGGACATGATCTCACTAGTGTCACCTTACTTTTATCCAAACATAAGGTATGTACTGTGTGGCAAAATTCTCTAATTTAGAGGGGGTTGGATGGCCAAATGGTTAGCACATGCGCTCTTTATCATAAGGCCTGTCATTGTGTCAACTGCCCTGGCTTCAATTCCCCTGTTGTACATGAGTAGGGATGCCTGTCCAACTTTGTGAGTTTTCTCTGTGTTCTCCAGTTTCCTCCAACGTGCAAGCAAATTATTTAGATAAAATTGAACCATATGTTAGTCCCGAAATGGCCTAGTTTGTGTCGAGTTGCCATTAAACCCCATTTCTCTCTCTCTCTGTAATTTAGACAGGAGAGCCACGGTGGCAGAGTGAGAATGGCACGACATCACTAACGGAGCAATTCAGAGTTTGCACAGCCTGTTGATCAAGAGCTTGGTCAATAAACCTGAATGAAAAAAAAACAAAATAATGCTCAAATATTAATATACATTGTTTTATAGACTTGACTTGATATTAATTCATTTTTCTTTATTCAGGCTATTGAGGATGAGATGACTGCCCGCCATTCCCATCTGAAGTCCGTGACCCAGGTTGGTGACGATCTCATTGAAGCTGGTAATTTCGGAGCAGACAAGATTCAGCAGAATATAGATGAGATTAATCAACAATGGGAAAGTTTAATAGATCTAGCTGCTTATCGCAAAAAACGCCTCTTAGAGGCTGTCGATTTCTATCAAGTAAGTTATTTTTTATTTACGTTTTGAACATGATGAAATGCTCATCGGGACTCGGGGGGGGGGGGGGGGGGGGTGGATGGTCGAATGGTTAGCCTGTGTGTCCAGTATAATAAGGTCTGTCATTGAGTCAACTGGCATTGGTTTCCCATTGTCAGTGGTGCAGGACGAAGGCCCTGATAAAAAGGACAGCTGTCTAGTTGTTTGGATGGGACGAAAAACCGAGGCCTCCTGTATAGACATTGGTAGTTGGAATTCAATATAAGAGTAGGCTATAGTGTCACTGCCTGGGCAAAATTTCCCTCATAGCACACTATGGCATACGCCTGTCTTCATTAGCCCAGTCGGAGCAGTAGGATGTTAAACCCCATTTCAGTTCTCTCATAGCGTACCTGGTGGCGTACCAGTCAGAGCAGAACAGTAGGATGTCAAACTCCATTAAAATATCATTTCATTTTCTACCCTTGTAAAATTCAGCAGATAACGTAGATAGAGTGTCTAACTGAAATGTATTTTGTTGTGTTGTAGTTTTTCGCAGATGCGGATGATGTAGATACATGGATGTTGGATACATTACGTATGGTATCTAGTGAAGATGTTGGTAAAGATGAAGCCAGTGTTCAATCTCTCCTTAAAAAACATAAGGTCAGTTTAGTTATATTTATTAATAAGTAGTAATATTCATAGTTGACTATCAATCTGATTAAAGTACAGATCTATATTTCGTTTCGTTTTTTTATAATTTCGATGGCCTAAAGCTCGCCGTAACAAACCGTTTCATTGGCTTATTCCTCACTTCAATAAGAACGCCTGTTATATAACAATTCTTCCAGATCCTAGTGTAGTACAGACAAGTAAAACGAAATTTGGATTTATGAAAAAACAACACAAAATAGGATCTGTGTTTTAATTCAGAGTGTGTCGACTGTATTTAATTCACATAGAGGACAAATTCATTACATCCAGGGTTAAACTCCTGGAATCTAGTAAATATCTCCTGGAAAATGACTGGAATTTTAAGGGGAAATGTAGTTAGGAAATGTAAGTTAAGGGGGGAAAACTAGCATTTAAAAAATTTGTTGTCGGGGTAACACATGTTTTGGGAAAAAATTATGAAAAACGTAGGTACACTGTATCTCTGTAACTAATTAAGATATCTACATTTTACATCATTTTTGAAAGTCAGGCATGGAGAAATATGCATCGTATGTTTTCTTGAATGGGATATTTGATATTGTTGTTTTATTTATTTCAGGAGGTAACAGAAGAACTGAAGAATTACCAAACATCTATCGAAGCATTACATGAACAAGCTGCCGGTCTCGGGGAACAAGTAAGTAGAATTTGTACCCAAAGTAGATTCACGGTCTATCATGTTTTAGCCTGGCATGAACATTCGACTCCCAACTAGGATGTTCCCTGGTTCGAATCCTGACCTTGTGGGTTCTCTCCGGTTTCCTGTCACTGCTAAAGACCCCTAGCTTGTGTTGAGAAGACATTAACCCTTAACCGGTCGACGTCATTTTGACGTCATGACGTCAAGTGGTCAGGCTAAATAAAGGCCGACGTGAAATATTTTGTATGCCTATTTCAATCGACTACTGCCGAATAATTAAAAAGTTGAAGGGGGGATAAGTTGATCTATAATTTGCAAATCATTCTAAATTCTTTTCATGAGAAATATCGTCTTCAGAATCGGTGTCATCGATATAATTCGAGACCTGTATTTCAACAAGTTCCTTTCTGACACGCATTCGTGGCCATATCTATTAAATACGAAACTAAATACGCAAATGCGACTTATAAAAAAGGTTCTTGCTGTGGTCCACTTAGCTGTATAACGTGGTGACTATAGTGGACAATGACTGGTTAAGGGTTAAACCCTCTCTCTCTCTCTCTCTCTCTCTCTCTTAAACTACCATGAGGTAGTCTCAAATTGATGAACTTTAATATAGGAAAACATATGAAATATTTCCAGTCAGTGAATTGCAATCAGAAATATAATTATTTTTTTATTCTCTCTCTATTTAGGACCGAGAATCACCTGATGTACAGAGTAGATTAGGTAGCGTAGACAGAAGATATCAAGAATTATTGGAACTTGCTAAACTGCGAAAACAGAGACTTCTCGATGCCCTTTCGTTATATAAATTAGCCAACGAAGCCGATGGTGTTGAAACATGGATTGACGAAAAGGTAGGTTTCAATATTTTTCTTTATTTACTGCGGATGGTAGTGTATGCTGTACTTGACTGTTCCTTGTGATTGAGAATTCTGTTTTCATGCCTAAGACTTTATTTGATAAGGTCACAAAATTGAAATACCTGTAACTAAAGCTGAACGCACACAATGGAACATTTTAGCCGAACATTCATGAAAACATTGTTTCTATCAATTTGTTCAAAAAACACAAAATTTTCGAAAAAAATCTGCCTGGAGTCGAACACGTTAGATATTTGCATTGAAGCCAAACATGTAATATGTATGCCATTTTGAAATCACATGATTTTATGTGGCGGTAGCAATGGGCCTGCTTGATTTGTCCATCGATAGGTGAGCCGGTTTCTACTACGGCGTACTGTCATATACTCCCTTTACTAAACCAAATTATTCATATTATTAAGGAATAGTGGTCTGAAGCCTTCTTTGTGTTAATAGAGTTACTTCCCTTGATTAATAAAAGGCTTTGATCCTAGATGGAATTCTGGGATGGAGTGAAATGGAAGATGGCTGTTTTTAATTAGCTCTTCTGATTGTCATAAACAATCCAGTCCATCTTGTGGCCTATACACCCCAATACCACAGTACGCCAGTCAGGTTACCGTATCGAAGCAAATCAAGGGACCTGGCTGATAAACAATATGGCGTTGGATAATGTTATAATATTAAACCGGTTACATGACATGTTTTAATCAAAAACAGTATAACTTGAAAGTGCCCGCAAAATAAGCAGAAAATTATTATTAGTAATATTACTGAGAAAAAATAAATGTCATATGAACTTTTGGTTTTACGAAGCTCAAATTCAACTTCAAAACATTTGGTTTAATTTTAACGCTTTAAAATTAGTGTTTTATGGCATTCCTAAATAACCTGAATTTTATCTCGTTGACATGTTCACCATCTTGCGCCGGTGTTTTCCAAAGCGCTGCCGAACTAATGTCGACTTCCGGTGAAATCAAGTGACCTCGCGCAAAAACTGCCAAATTGTGGTCAGCCGGTATGTGCTGGTATTGACAAATCAAGCAGGGCCAATGGTGTATGTTAATAGATATATATATACGTCTAACATTCGTTCATCTACGGGACCATGTTACAATGTGACAGACTTAATTAAAAAATCTTAAAAATTTATTTTTATTTGAATTGCAGGAGAAATTCCTTACAACCATAACTATGACCGATGATATTGAAGAATTAGGCATAATGAAACATCGCTTTGACAGCTACGAGCACGAGATGAATTCGACAGCTTCTAAGGTAGCTGTTGTTAATCAGCTGGCCCGTCAACTATTGACAGTAGAACATCCTAACGCCGAGGAAGTTATTACAAAACAAAATCAGCTCAACCAAAGGTAATGGTATTGTTTTTTTTTTTATTATTAATTCACATTCGATGTTAGGATGAGCCTATCAGTGCATAAAAGTAGGACGTTAAACCATTTCATGTCAAGTTTTCTATTTCTCTTTCAGGTGGAACAGCCTTCGGGAACATGTGGACCAAAAACGAGGCGAAATCGATCTTTCTCACGGACTTCAAAATTTCCATATTGAATGTAATGAAACAATTGTAAGTGTTTATCAACCAAATTTCATAACATTTATTTGTGAATTTCAGATAGAATTTAAGAAAGATAAATAAATTGAATTTTGAAAAAGATAAACAAAGCGAATTTTGAAAAAGATAATCAAATTTTGAAAAAGATAATCAAATTTTAAAAAAGATAAATGAAGCGAATTTTGAAAAAGATAAATATTTTGATTTGATAGATTTATTTCTGTAGCACCAGAGATCCTTGAAAAGAATTGTCGGAATATATGAGAAAGCGGAAACATTTTTAAAGAATATATGTGGTATTCATAATAACACAACTTTATGAATATACTAATTCTTAGTTTATTACATACAACGTTTCAATATACAGGTATCTTTATCAAGCAATGATCAATAATGAATAACAACATTACATTTATAGTACATCCATGAGTAAAAACAATTTAACAATATACCAAGTAGTAGTAAATCCATAATGTTGTGTTATTATGAATAGAATACCTCTACTTCTAAATGTCATTCAAGGATATTATATTTGTGGTAGTTATCATGTTTAAACGTTATATTTTACACTCTGTTTTTATTTGCACGGATGAGGAGTAAAGTAGAACGTGAAAGCCCATCTAATTTCATTGTTTCATTATATTTTGACAGAGTTGGATTAATGAGAAAGCTAAGATTATAGAATCAACTGAAGATTTAGGTAATGATTTAGCTGGTGTCATGACTCTACAGAGACGACTCAGTGGTATGGAGAGAGATTTAGCTGCTATTGAAGCTAAGGTTAGTATTTTTATTGAGATCCACTCTGTTGCTCACTTTTCGGGTGTTGGGTTCGATTATATTATTGCTCGAATAGCACTGCTGTCGAAACAGAATTTCCCACATAGCTCAATGCATGGCGTTGGTGCAGAAAAATATGTTAAACCCCATTTCATTTTACCCACCTGGGAACTCAAAAATATGGGATAATGTATCTTACTAAAGGACACAAGTTTCCAAAACTCGGCAGCAGTGTGGATCGATACAGTCACCTTTTCATGTAATTGCTTGCACCATTTTAAGGACAATCTGCTTTTTGTAATGGATTATATTTGAGTATGAATATTTGTATGTTTTAGTTGGAGAATCTCCAGTCGGAAGCCGATAGATTACAAGAAGAGAAACCAGAAGAAGCTCAGGCTATTCGTGATAAGATCGCGGAAATTAACAGTGTCTGGCTGGATCTTAAAGACATGGTAAGAAGCTTGTCTTAAGTTTTAAATTTTTAGGGTCTAATCTCATTCGATGGGACTCTTTTTATCAAAGTGAATTCCAGAGGGGAGATAGTCAGCCATCATGGTTTGATTTTGTTGTATTAAACATGCATTATGCAAGAGCTAAATTTGTCTATTGAAGGTCCTTCTTTAGGCCTGAAATGTTATATAACTATTAATTAGACATTTGTTAAGATGAAAAGACCTTAATCAGCTGTCGATGCCATCTTATGTGTTAGATTTTCACTGGATTTTAACCTGATCTGCTGCTCAACACTCATTGATGGATAATCGAGACTATGTTTTTTATCGTACCGACTTTAGTAATGATGTTCGAGGCTAGGCCTAAAATTCATTCGCTAATATCTTGGTTCAGAGTGGAGCAATTTGACTGAAATTTTCAGCATATTCCCTTTACATTATCTAATTTTTAACTATTATAGTGAGAACTGCCAGCTCTTTATCTTATCTCCCATAATGCCTCTTTAAAATGCTAAATATTCAATTTAAGTACATTTTTGGGTGGATTCAGTTGTAAAATATAGTTGTCTGAAAAATACGGGATCGTGATCTATGACGTTGCATATCAATTGTTTCACATGTTTATCAATCAATCAAAATTTATTTTTCCAGTTGAAGGACCGAGATGAGAAATTAGGTGAAGCTGGAGAATTACAACGTTTCCTTGCCAGTTTGGATCACTTCCAACAATGGTTGGCCAGAACACAAACAACCATTGCTTCCGAAGATACCCCAACAAGTCTGGCCGAGGCTGAGAAACTTCTCAATCAACATCAACAGATCAAAGACGAGATTGACGCCTACGCACCAGAATATCAGAAAATTAAAGATTATGGCGATAAAGAAACAGAGGGACAGACTGATCCTCAACATATGTTCTTGGCACAGGTAGGTTCCGACTGAATTCTGAAATATATTTGCTGTCCAGGACAGAAGGCCTAACAAGGACAGATGTCTAGTCGTTCAGATGGGACGTAAAACCGAGGCCCCAAGTATACATTGGCATGCGCATAAAAGATCCCTTGGCAGTTGGAATTTGATATAAGAGTAGGCCATAGTGCCCCTGCCCGGGAATAATTTCCCTCATTGCACACTGTATGGCATATGCCCATCTTCATTAGCCCAGTATAGGAGCAGAACAGTAGGACGTTAAACCCCATTTCATTTCATCTTCACTGTCAGTTTGGTTATAGGAGAAAAGGTTAGAAAGTTGTCTTCCTAAATCATGTGTTATATTCGGATCCTCGGATCCTGGGGATTTAAACAGTTACATGTGGATAAAAGGGGAAAAACAACCATTCTCCATGTTAGAATTCCAATTTCTCTTTTCTATCACTCAAAAAGGCAGAATTACTACAACAAGGGAGACACATCTGTTAAACAATATTTTTGATTATATTTTTCAGCGTCTACAAGCTCTAGACGATGGTTGGCATGAATTATTACAGATGTGGGAGAACAGACAACAACATCTGTCACAGAGTCTTAACTATCAGGTAAAATATTTATATCATAAAAGTCTTTAGGGATTGGGAGCCACAGTGGCTTGATGAGTAAGACGTTGGCTCTCTTACCTGGAGGTCCCGTGTTCCAACCCGGCTTTGGCCGAGAAAGTTCCTTGTGAATTTCCTTGTCAGTGGTACAGGATTGAGGGCCTTTCAAGGGACATTGTATAGTCGTTCAGATGGGACCAAAAATCTGAGCTCCTGTTTACACAGTTGGAATTCGATATAAGAGTGTGGGCAAAATTTCCCTCATAGATGGTGTATGCCTGTCTTCATTAGCCCAGGACAGTAGAATGTTAGATCCCATTTCATTTCATTTCGTCTTAAGGATTTTTCAAGCCTCGTCCTCATGTGTTAGGGGTTACGGCTGTGGGTCAGACAATGAAAGTTTCCTCAGGAAGGTTATAAAAAAAAACCTGACGTCCACTTATTTTCGTTCACATTCACAAAAGAAGACTAAACAGATCCAGCTGTCCGGGTAAATTCTTGCATTGCACATGTAACCATAGAAATAACAATACCATATGTCAGTTTAAAAATGACCAGAGTATTCTGTTGACGTGACTTTATTTCCAATTCCATTCCATAAGCTGCTGAATTTTACATTTTCTAGACAGACATAACTGAATGATTTTTCATTTTTTCGTATTGTTAATGTTTACATATATTTTTTCTTCCCCAGATGTTCTTACGTGATGCTAAACAAGCCGAAGTATTATTGAATCAACAAGAGAATTTTCTTTCTAAAGAAGATGTTCCGGTAAGTTGTCATATCTACATTAATATTCTATACGTATCACAGCACATTTTATAACCCTTTTAATAAACACTTTTTATTAGGAAGAGGTTTGGAATTTTATTCTTATATCTAAAAACAATGCAGGTACTTTTGTGTTTAATGATAGAATATTGATATGCTTAAAGAAATCTGTATTCGGTAATAGTTTACCATGTGTTTTATCAGTATTGGAATTCTTGATGATCATTTTGTTGCATAATTGAGTATAAATTATAAATAGACGGACACTAGAAACTCATTGTTAAGTATGAATTAAAAACATGTTTAGTACAAATTAGAAACAGTCACTAGTAACTCATATTTAAGTATGAATTAGAAATAAACACTAGTAACTCATTGTTAAGTATGAATTAAAAACATGTTTAGAACAAATTAGAAACAGTCACTAGTAACTCATGTTTAAGTATGAATTAGAAATAAACACTAGTAACTCATTGTTAAGTATGAATTAAAAACATGTTTAGAACAAATTAGAAACAGTCACTAGTAACTCATGTTTAAGTATGAATTAAAAACATGTTTAGTGCAAATTAGAAACTAGTAACTCACGTTTAAGTATAAATTAAAAACATATTTAGTAAAAATTAGAAACTCTAGTAACTGATGTTTTAGTATAAATTAGAAAATGGTTAAATATAAATTAGAAACAGACACTAGTAACTCATGTTTTAGTATAAACTATAAACACATTGGTAACTCATTTTTACGTGAATATTGAAGGGTTTATTTAAAGGGTTTTCTTGTTGACATTTTCGTGGTTTTGTTGTGTTTTACACTGTACAGCTTATCTTAAAGCCTAGCTTTTCTCACTTAAGCTTTTGTTGTTGTTTTAAAATCTGAACTTATTGATCAGACAGCTTTTGGGAAATTTTCTCAATGGCTGAACTATCTATTTTTACAGTTTATGTAAACTGCTTTCTTGTGATTTATGTTTCGCTTTCACAGTAAACACGCAAATAATACTTTATCTAGCCGTTTGTTTTTGCGTTAAAAAAATTTGTTAGATATATTAGAAATATCTGCTTTGATATTGTTAAAGAGAATACTTTATCTGTGTTTTGCGTTTAAAAAATCTATTAGATACCATTTTAGAAAAAATCTGCTTTTGATATTGTTAAGTATTTTTCCACTTCCTTGTGTGTGAATTGTATAGTATCTCTATTGTTTTGTTGTGCAGAGTTCAGTCGGGTTTGCCGACAAGCAGGTAATTGTCCTAGCTGTATCCCTTTAGCCCTGTAGTGTTGCATGGTTTGCTAGTGCAACAATATCCAGCAACTTGCCTTTTTATTTCCGTTTATTTATTAATGCGTCATCCCTTCTGAATTGCCACTGAAGTGTATTCTTTCTACTAAATTTTCTAGTGTGCTTTCTTTTTTATTAAATATTCTTTTTGTTATCATAATTGATGAACTGACCTTGAAACTCAAATATTTTTAAAGACACGAGTTTGGAATTCACTCAGATTTTCCTTGTCAATAAATGGAGGGTCTGACAAGGAAATAAATCTATCTAGTCCTGTGGAAGGAACAGAAAACAGGCCCTGTTTATAAAATTATATCATTGGCAACATTTTAGTATCAGTTGGAAATCAAAATTGGAGTAAGCCATATGTCATGGGAAAATTGCCCTCATAACACATTGTGACTTAAGCCCATCTTCATTAACACAGTGGTAACCCCATTTCTTACGTACAAGATATGGAATATTAGGATTTTTGGGGGTATATTTTCATGAAATCTGTTCAAAAATCCATTGCATGGCATCAAGAAATTGATAGAAAATTACACAATGGGTCAATTGTGCTTCACGGAAAAATGTCAGATTTGTGTGAATTCTATGAGTCTACAAATATTTGACGAGGCCAGTTCATAATATGGAAAAAAAATGATTTCTGATATAAATTTGCTTAATAGCGGTGTATATTAGTGTTTTTTATTCTATTGTATGCAAATAATATTTTAATATTTCAGAATTCTGCCTTTCTTTTTCTACTGTTGTTTTAGTTTTATATTCCTATTTAAATGTTGACTATATGGATGGGGGATATATATATTTATTATATAACATGTATATTTATATATTATTTATTTATTAACATATCGGAGAGCCACGGTGGCTCAGTGAATAAGATACTGGTTTGCTCAGTGAAATACTGGTTTACTCCGTGAATAAGGCACTGGTTTACTCAGTGAATAAGGCACTGGGACACTCAGTGAGTAAAACACTGATTTGCTCAGTGAATAAAACACTGGTTTGCTCAGTGAATGAAATACTGGTTCGCTCAGTGAGTAAAACACTGGTTCGCTCAGTGAATAAAGCACTGGTTTGCTCAGTGAATAAAACACTGGTTTGCTCAGTGAATAAAGCACTGGTTTGCTCAGTGAATAAGGCACTGGTTTGTTCAGTAAGGCACTGGTTTGCTCAGTGAATAAGGCACTGATTCACTCAGTGAGTAAAATACTGGTTCACTTAGTGAGTAAAACACTGGTTTGCTCTGTCAGTAAAACACTGGTTCGCTCAGTGAGTAAAATACTGGTTTGCTCAGCGAAAAAGGCACTGGTTCACTCAGTGAGTAAAATACTGGTTCACTCAGTGAGTAAAACACTGGTTTGCTCAGGCACTGGTTCGATCAGTGAGTAAGGCACTGGTTCACTCAGTGAGTAAAATACTGGTTCCCTCTGTGAGTATAACACTGGTTCGCTCAGTGAGTAAAATACTGGTTCCTTCTGTGAGTATAACACTGGTTTGCTCAGTAAGTAAAGTACTGGTTCACTCAGTGAGTAAAATACTGGTTCCCTCTGTGAGTATAACACTGGTTTGCTCAGTAAGTAAAGTACTGGTTCGCTAACTTGGAGGTCCGGGTTTCTATCTCGCTGTTGGACGAGAAAGTTTCTCGGGATTTTCTGGCATGGTGCAGGTTGGATGACCTGACAAGGAACAGTGTCTCGTCGTTCAGATGGGACCAAAAAAAAAGTCTTGTTGGCATGCACAAAAAAAAAAAAGAACCCTTGGCAGTTGGAGATTCAAAATAAGAATAAGCCATAGCACAGCTTTTTGGGCATAAATTTGCCTCATAGTACACTGCATGGCATATACCCATCTTCAGTTGCCTAAATGGAGCAGAAAAATAGGGTATTAAACCCTGTTTTATTCCATTTTCAGATTTTTGTAAAATAGAATTGTGATGCATATGATATTAACCCCTCTTATAAATTTTATAAGAAATTCCTTCTTTATATTCAGAGTTTGATCCTTTTTCTCTTCCACTAAAAACTCCACATTAGCATCTTTACATGTGATGAAATATTGTCCTGATTACAAAACTTGACACTCGTGCATTATTAAATCTTTAGTTGATTTTTCATATTGTTTTTTGACAAAAGGGAAGCCACGATGGCTAGGTGGGTAAGACGCTGACTCACTAGTCTGGAGGTCGCGTGCTTGATACCTGCATTGATCGAGAAAGTTCAACTGGATTTTCAGATGTGGTTTTCCCTTGTCAGTGGTGTAGGACAGAGGGCTTGACAGGGACAGCTGTTTATTCATTTGGATGGGACAAAAAATTGATGTCCCGTGTATACATTGGCGTGCACGTAAATGATCCCCTGACAGTTGGAATTTGATATAAGAGTAGACCATAGTGTCACTACACTGTATGGCGTATGCCCGTCTTCATTAGCCCAGTCGAAGCAGAACAGTAGGACGTTAAACCCCATCCCATTTCATTTCTTGACTGAAGTTTTCAATATGAAATATACCCCATTAGTGACTGGTAGAAATTAGAAATATATATTATCCACAGCTGTCCTTTAATTTAAAGTCACGATGCATCAGTGGCATTTGTCGCTAAAATATCAAATTTCTCACGGCTTAATACACCCTAATATGTACTCTGATTGGTTATTTTTAGTATATATAAAACTATAAGTCAAGTTTTCGATACTGTAAAATTATTGTTAGGAAGAATTTGTATAAATTCATTTCTGTTTTATTTTTAGGAATTTTAAACTTTTCTATGTTTCACAATATGTTATGTTTTCACAATTCTGTTCAATGAAGGTCAATATTCATGAAAATATGTTAAAGGTGCATTATGTAAGAGCTAAATCTGCCTAATGCAGATCTTTCTTTAGGCCTCATTCATTAGACATTTATTTACATGCCAGACCTATAATCAACTCTCTAGAACTTAGGATGATTTTGATTTTCAACAGATTTAAATATGATTGGCAGTTAATGATTTAATTAAAAAATGGATAATCAAAACTTTGTTTACTATCGTAATGATGGCAATCAAAACTACACTGTTCAGCAAACTAAGATAGCTTGGCTCAGAATGAAGTAATTTGACTGATATTTTCAAGATATTCCCATGTTGTGAACTATTATAGCCAGAACTGTCATCTCTTTATCTTAATGTTACATAATGCATCTTTAATTAGCTTCGAGTTCAAATTTGTACTAGGATTTCAACCGTCAACCAATGAAAAGGCTGCATCCCGACAGTATTTTATTTTTCATGAATATGTCCAGTGTTCTATGTTTGAATTTTTTTAATTCCACGATATTTTTCTATTTTCAGAATTCTGTACAATCTGCGGAGAATTTGATCAAACGCCATGATGCCTTTATTACTACGATGGAAGCAAACGATGAGAAGGTTAATGCCGTTTGTAATTTTGCTGACCGCCTTATTGAAGACAATCATTTCGCTGCTGACAAAATCGCTAAAAAAGCAGAAAACATCAGTGAAAGGTTAGTTTTGATAAAGAAAAAAAAATTATGGTTGGTGTGGTGGGAATGATATTATAGCATGTGTGTCCTTCACTGGTGTTATGTCTAGTACGTACATATAGTGGGATATTTCTGGATGGAATATTCTTAGAAATCTTTAACTTAGTCCCATACAATCGTCAGAAGTTAAGTTCTATCAGACGTTATTCATGGAAATACAAATTTCCAGTTTCCGTAGGGTCGCCTGTCCAACCTCATAGATTTTCTTCGGGTTCTCCGGCTTCCTCCCACTGGTAAAGACCCCTACGTGCAAGCAAATTATTGAAATAAAATTGAACCATGTTAGTTCCGAAATGACCTAGTTTGTGTCAAACGGATGTTAAGTCTCTCTCTCTCTCTCTCTCTCTCTCTCTCTCTTACAAAGTCAATCCAACAATTCAACAGTGGAATTCCTTAAATGAGTTTGCATCATCTTTCCGACAAATTATTTGGCAATTTCTTCGCATTTATATACTTAAACACACTTATAAAAGAGTACTGTGTGAAAAAAAAAAACAACCCCGGCTGACAAGTCTGATAGGAAAGTATGAAAAGGTGTCAGCTATTAAAAGACAAAGTATGCCAATACATGTAATTATAATTTGCTAAACATCGTTAATATTCATGGTAAATTTGCTGTTCACATGTGCCATGCATGTACTTAATAAACCCAACATTAATTAGCAGGCTAATGAGTTGACAACAGCTAATGCTTGTTAAGTGATTAATTCTTTACATTTTTATAATTTAAGATGGTTTTTTTTATACCAATCTATTTTCGAGATTGTAATTGTAAGGGAGTACATCATGATATTAAAAAATTACTTAAATTATAAAACCATGCATAAAACAATTTATACAGAGTGCCTGACAAGAAACCATGTCTTGTGGGTTAAATCTCTCTCTCTCTCTCTCTCTCTCTCTCTCTCTCTCTCTCCCCACCCCCCTCTCTAATGCCTACTAAATTCAGTGAATGTATAGGTGGATAGCAGTGTTGTTTTATACATGTAGATCAACATCTATGTAATAAATCTATATAATTCTGCTGCGGTTTTTTCTCGAGAAAGCCAACAAAATGATTAAATCTTGTTTATTTCCTCAACTTTTCTAAGATGAATTATCGTGTGAAAGTAGTGAGGAAGGAACCAGAAATCTATATATATCCCTGTTAAAAACATATTTTTATCTTTAATTCCTCGTACGAATTATCTTTCATCTATTCTTACGTATGGCTAATGTTACAGTTTAAAAACTGATTCTCCTTGATAAACCACTTGAATCTGAAATGTGTTTATAATATTCTCTTGTAAACCATGCAAGACAAATATTCAAATCATTTAATATGCTTGTTAAACCAGGTTACTATAAATAGATTATATATACACCAGGGTAAGCGTGCATTATGAGATAAACCATTCTTAATCTTTTCGAGAATATGGATTCTGTAAATCTTCGTTGTGATTTTCGTATTAGAAAACTTTGTCCGATTTAATTTTTTGTAAATACTAAAATGATACTACTCTTGGAGACTTTTAGATTTTAAGGGGACTGTCGGGGAGATGTACTGTAAATGAATTTGGAGAATTATCAGTAACTTTAAAGGGACTGTGGGAGAAGAGGTACCGTTAAATGAACTTGAAGAATTATTAGAACCTTTGGAATATAAGGGACCTATGGGAAATTCAGTGATAAATTTCACTTCACTTCTTTATAAAGTTTATTTGTATAATCAGAGAAGATGTCTTGAAAGATATGGTTAAAATGAATTTGTATAACTTATAATGGAGTATTATGATGAATTTTGTTGTGGGAAGAGACAAGCCTATTTTAGTTTCATATATCTGTTCGAGATTTAAATGGCCGCTGATTAATTATATTTTGATGGATTTATGGTTGTGGTTTTTTTATCGCAGGAGAGATGCAAATCACCAGAAATCCAATGAACAACTTGATAGACTTAAAGAACAATTACAGATGCAACAATTTATACAAGAATGGGACGAGGTGAGGAAAATAATTTATTATCTCATGCTGAATGAAGTTAGGGATGGATAGCATCTGTTGGATGGCCGAATGGTTAGCACAGGCACGCTGTATCATAAGGCCTGTCATTGAGTCAACTGGCGTGGTTTTGAATTCCTGGTTGTATGTGACAAGGAGTAAGGTCGCCTGTCTAACCTCATGGATTTTCTCTGGGTCCTCCGGTTTCCACCCACTGCTAAAGACCCTTACGCGCAAGCAATTTATTGAAATAAAATTAAACCATGTTAGTCCCGAAATAACCTAGTTTGTGTCGAGTGGACGTTGAACCACATTTCTCTCTCTATTGTTGATTCCAGAGGATATCTCATAAGCTGTTTAAGATATCTTTATGAAACTTTGTACGCACATCAACCTATCATAGCAGTTATGCCTTTGTAATTTCTGTGTTTCCATGGAAACAAATTTGATATACAACTTCTCAAAATTTTAATTTTAGTCTTTAGATACAGACAGTATAGCTATAATTCTAATCCAAATTTTGAAACATTAGCCAGAATATGTTTGTAATATTATAACGCTTTGAAATAAAGCCAAATAAAAAAGGAATTGACATTATGCATACACAGATGTATTTCATCGTTCAACCATTTCAAATAAATCATGAATAATGGCCGCTAATTAGACCATAATGTTTATTTGATTAATAAGTTTGATGCAAATTATATCTTTATCTTTCCTTGCTTCACAAATAAACCCTGCTTGATTTTAAATCTTAGTCACTTAACATGTTATAAATTAATTGAATTATCTGTCAACACTTGAGTTGAACCAACCACTGGTGTTTGTTCTCATTAGCCTCCATATTTTGTTTCAATGGCATTTAGTGGAAAGGTGGCTAAGTGGGTGAGGTGTTGGCTCGCTAGGTTGGAGGTCGCTTGTTCGATCCCTGCATTGGCTGAGAAAGTTCATTGGGATTTTCCGACTTGGTTTCTCCCATTGTCAGTCATGCAGGTTGGAAAAACCAAGGTCCTGTGCATACATTGGCGTGCACATAATTGATTCCTGGGCAGTTGGAATTCAATATATAAGAGTAGTACATAGTGCTGCTGCCTGGGCAAAATTTCACTCATAGCATACTGTATGGTGTATGCCCATCTTCATTAGCTCGGTCGGAGCAGGGCAGTAGGCCATTAAGTACCATTTCATTTCCTTTCGTATAACCTTTGTCAAAACGTGGCTCAGTAATTGTGTTCCATTGTCTTGATGTTTTTTATATTGAATTTGCTGATTAATAAAATACAGAATTGTGTATTTTATCTTAACTAGAGGTGATTATGTAAAAAATGGCCCAATCATTCTATTGAGACACCAGGTATTTAAATGAACAAATATTATTCCATTGATAAATAATCATTGGTTATAATTTCTTTCCAGCTTAATGATTGGTTGAATGACAAGATGGCCGCCGCCCATGACGAATCTTACCGAGATGCTAAGAATCTCCACAGTAAATACATGAGACATCAAGCTTTTGAATCAGAAATTGCTGCCAACAAAGAACGACTAGAAGCCATTAAACAGGTCAGTATTTCAAATTACACATCACGATAGAACCTTAATCCAAAAATCTCAATAACCACATCAAAATAAGAATGTCCACAGATTCTTGGACCTGTAAAATAAAATAATTTTAGAAATTTTCATGAAATCGCAGATTAAGAGGAGATCCACCAAAAAAAAAAAATTCCCCAAACTTATAGATGGTGTCGCCGCTTGTTTATATCGACTGTAGAGGATGTCAAGTGTTCATCATAACTGAGTGGGTTGGATGGCCGAATGGTTAGCACGTTTGTGCTGCATCATAAGGTCTGTCATTGAGTCAAGTAGCGTGGTTTCGATTCCCCACTGATAAAGACCTCTACGCGCATGCGAATTATTGAAATAAAATTGAACCATATGTTAGTCCTGAAATTATCTAGTTTGTGTCGATGGACGTTAAACCCCATTTCTTTCTCAATATTATTATTTCGTAACCATATTAGGAGGGAGAAGAATTGATGAAGAACAAACCTGAGATGAGAGAACAGATCGGACCAATGTTACAAGAAATAGACAGCCAATGGGAGAATCTGGAAGGTACCACCAAAGCCAAGGGAGAGAAACTATTCGATGCCAATAGATCGGTGCTCTACACCCAGAGTTGCGATGATGTCGATGGATGGATTAACACCATTGAGTCGCAAGTTATCACATCAGAAGACTTTGGTAAAGATCTTACCACAGTTAACCTTTTGGTTCAGAAACAAAATGTAAGTAAAAAGTTATCGTTCATGATAAACATTTTATTGTGATAGTTGGTCAAACTACATTTGTAATTGTAAATAATGTTTTTTAGTAATCTGATGCAGGACAGAGGGGCTGACTAGGACAGGTGTCTAGTCGTTCAGATGGCACGAAAAACCAAGGTCCCGTGTACACAGGCAAAATTTTCCTTATAGCCCACTGTATGGCGTATGCCCGTCTTCATTAGCCCAGTTCGGAGCAGAATAGTAGGACGTTAAACCCCATTTCATTTGATAGTAATCCTTTATATGGTACATCAATACGAGGTTCTCTGTGTGCTTTTGAAAGAACCTTTGGCAACTGGAATACAATATAAGAGTGGGCTGTAGCGTCGCTGTCCCTGTAAAATCTCCCTCATAGCACACTGTATTATCCTGTAAAGTTCATTCAATTTGTGTATTATTAAAACTTTATTAATTGACCTGGGTTTCTGATAAAATATTTGATAAAAAGTTCATTAAAACTGTGTATTATTTTAGATGATGGAGAATGAGATGAAAATAAAAGAACAACAAGTACAGGAATTAGAATCTCAGGCCGTTCATTTAAAACGATTAGAACCCGACAGAGAAGCCGAGATAGAGGCTCGTAAAGCTCTTGTTGCAGAAAGGTAAGAAAGTCTTGACTGTTAATAAATAACTGAATCCTCAAAATGAAAACATATCTTTAGAGATAGATTTTGTAAGATTTAGATAAAGAGCTGATCGTTCTTGTTATAATTCATCCCCTTGTCAGTGGTGTAGAACAGAGGGCCTGACAAGGACAGCTGTCTAGTCCTTCGGATGAGACGAAAAACCGAGGTCCCGTGTATACATTGGAATGCACGTAAAAGATCCCTTGGCAGTTGGAATTCGATATAAGAGTAGGCGATAGTGCCGCTGCCCGGGCAAAATTTCCCTCATAGCACACTGTATGGTGTATGCCCGTCTTCATTAGCCCAGTATAGGAGCAGAACAGTAGGACGTTAAACCCCATAATTCAAAAACAGATATTTAGAAATTGATATATTAAAAATTTCAATCAAATTACATCGTTCTGAGTGAAGTTATGGGTGTTTGAAGTTTTGACAACAAGTCTTGCTTAACAATTTAAAATTCCACGTTGCCATGGATACTATATATGGTATGGTAGAAAATATATAAGTAATGTTTTGATTTTATTTTTTTACAGATTCGCCAAAATCCAGAGACCTTTAGTCCAGAGACGAAATCAACTGGAGAAGGTGAAGAGAATTCATCAGTTTATGCGTGATATCGAGGATGAGAAATTATGGATAGAAGAAAAGAAACCATTGGCTGATTCTACTAACTATGGAAACAGTCTACTGAGCGTGCAACTGCTGATCAAGAAAAATCAAGTACGCTATAAATTTATATATAATTTGAAATATGTTAGATCATAAGGTCTGTCATTGAGTCAAGTGGCATGGTTCCAATCCCAATTTTGTATGTTACAAGGAGTAGGGTTACCTACCCAACCTTGTGAGTTTTCTCTTGGTCTTGCGGTTCCTGCCACTGCTGTTGTTTCAGTCCCAATCTTATATGTGACAAGGTGTAATGTCACCTGCCCTCTGGTTTCCTGCTACAGCTGAATACCCCTACCAGCAAGTGAATTATTGAAACAAAATTGAACCACATGTTTTTCCCAAAATAATTTATTACGTGTAAATTAATAGATCTGTTGAAAGAATGATAATATGCCATCTATAAATCTATAAATTGATACATCAGAGAAATAATCCATTGAAGATGGGAATTCTAATTAGAAACACTGTAAGCTACCCACTGCATCCAAATTCCAAAATGACTCTAGTTAACTGCATAGAAGTTGCAAGACCTTCTGCTTTCAGACATGTTTTTTTTTTTAATTACCCTATATAAACTGCGCGCACCATTTTACTTGGGTTACAACCAAGTGTAGCTCAAATTAGCTTATTTTCTAAAAATGCTTTTATCTGAGCTAATATAGATCAAATAAACAAAAAATTCTTAGAATTTAAAGGCAACTGAACCATTATATATAAATGTCCATTTCTTGAGCGCCAAATCCATCCAAAGGCATGCTCAAAGCGCTTTTAAAAACAATAAACTTATATACATGTCTGTTCAAAAATTTAGTTTACATAAGATTTTTTGAACAAGTGAGTTTTTAATTGGGATTTGAAACTTGTAACTCATCAGTGTATTTATTTATTTTAGACGCTACAGAGAGAAATCGAGAATCACGAACCTCGTATACGATCGGTGTGTGATATCGGCCAGGAATTAATCGATGAAGAACATCCACAATCTGAAGAATTTTCTGGTTTAATGAACGACTTAGTACAAAGATGGCAGGAATTGAAGGATTCTGTTGATGCTAGACGTGACCGATTACAACTTTCAGAAACAGCACAACAAGTAAGATGTTTTATCAGTTTGTCAAACGGCCATGTTCAGGGGTAAAAAATGAGCTCCTGTGTATATCAAGACCATTGGAAATCAAAGAGGGCACTGCCCAGCCAAACTTTCTGTTACAGTCCCTCTTCATTAGCCCGATTAGCTGATTAGTCCGATTAGCCGATTAGTCCAGAAAAGTTCTGAAATCATTTATCATGAATGTTCAGCATACACCACCTGATGCCATTTATGTTGAGGTCTGGAGGTCAGGTGTTCGATCCCTGTATTGACCAAGAAAGTTCATTGGAATTTTCCGCCATGGTTTCGCCTTGTCAGTGGTGCAGAAGGGAGGACCTGACAAGAACAGCTGTCTAGTCGTTCGGATGGGACCAAAAAATAGGTCCTGTGTATACATTGGCGTGCACATAAAAGATCCCTTGGCAGTTTGAATTTGATATAAGAGTAGGCCGTAGTGATGCTGTCCGGGCAAAATTTCCCTCATAGCACACTGTATGACGTATGCCTGTCTTCATTAGCCCGGTCGGAGCAGAACAGTAGGACGTTAACCTCCATTTCATTTATATCAGTCTTTACCTCAGAATGTTGGAACTAGCCTATGAAATTTGCTAGACAAATTAATGTTTATTTTTTTACAGAAAATTCATGCATGAATTTGCTAGACAAATTAATGTGTATTCTTTTACAGAAAATTCATGCATGAATAAAAGAATTCAAAAACAAATTTATTTCATTGCAACTTATTTTTTATTTCTAGTACTACTTCGATGCCAATGAGGCCGAGTCGTGGATGAGTGAACAAGAGTTGTATATGATGGGAGAAGATCGAGCCAAGGATGAGACGGGATCAGAGAATATGATGAAGAAACATCAAGTATTAGAAAACGCTGTCGATGATTACGCTGATGTTGTTCGACAGTTGGGTGAACGAAGTAGAAACTTAATAGAAACGGAACATCCTGATTGGTATGCTGTTTACATATTATCTTCCATATTACCTGACCTTGACCTGGAGATTTATGACTGGGTTAAAACAAGATTTCGACATAAATCGACTCTTGTTGGCGTTGAAATATATGACCCTCATATTTTTATATTTACTGTTTTTCTTTTCTTGTGACTGATAGATTAAAGATACATTATGGGAAAGGAGATAAAGAGCTGGCAGTTCTCACTATAATAGTTAAAAACTAGATAATGTAAATGGAATTTGCTGAAAATTTCAGTCAAATTGATCCACTCTGAACTGAGAATTTAGCACTTGCATTTTGGGCCTAGCCTCGATCATCATTACTAAAACAAAGTCAGTTTAACCTGATATTAGAATAGATTGGACTAGAATGGGTCCCTATTGAGGTGACCATGTTCATCATGACATAAGAATCTTTTATAGAAATGATTTCATTATAATAACAGCAAAGAAATCAAATTCAAACAGGATTTATTATGGAGCTATTTAATTTAATCCTAAACAATTTCATTTTTCAGTGACCAAGTTGCCCTTCGACAATCTCAGATCGATAAATTATACGCTGGTTTACGAGATTTAGCCAACGAGCGTAGAGGTAAATTAGGAGAAGTTTTAAAATTATATTCCTTACATCGGGAGATTGAAGATTTATTACAGTGGATTGCAGAAAAATCTGTACATGCTGGTTCTAATGATCCAGGTCAAGATTTTGAACATGTCACAGTAAGTATTATATTGTAATAGATGTTGGATCTTACTACATAGATTTACAGAACATATATAGGGATACTCAATTGAATTTTATGGAATTTAATTCTCGCAATCCATGGAGATGTGGCAATCAAGTGAACACAATGATTTCGGCCAACCAGGCATGAGTCTACTCAATAGTGGTTTAATGTATACATGTAAAAACATAGTCTGTCATTGAGTCAACTGGCGTGGGTTCGACTGCCCACTTGTACATGACAAGAAGTAGAATCGCCTGTCCAACCTCGTGAGTTTTCCCTGGGTCTTCTGGTTTCCTCCCACTGCTAAAGATCCCTACACGCAAACGAATTATTGAAATAAAATTGAACCATGTTAGTCCTGAAATGACCTAGTTTGTATCAAATGGACGAAAAAAACAAAGTCCATCCTTGTACCCATTTGCATGCATGTTAAAGATCCCTTGATTATAAGAATTTGACGAAGAGTAGGCGAATCGCTGCTGCCTTGGCAAAATTTCACTGTTTTCAATAAACCTATTGATGCCAGCATTATGATGTTAATTTCATTTTTTTTAATTTCAGTTATTAAAAGAACGATTCCGAGAATGGGCTCGTGAGACAGAAGCACAAGGTAAAGACAAAGTGTCCGCTAATAATGAGGAATGTGACCAATTAATGCTGGCCGATCATTCGGATTCGGCTACGATAGCAGAATACAAAGATCAGGTGAACGAAGCATGGACCGATTTATTGGAATTAATCGACACAAGAACGCAGATGTTACAGGCATCATGGGAATTACATAAATACTGCTCAGATTGTAAAGATACGTTAGAAAATATTTATGTAAGTATAAAATCGTTGTTATTTCTATGAAATGGAGATTTATTGCTTTAGATTTTATTCTGATCATTTATAGAAATAACATATCCGATCAGTTGAGTTCAAAATTATTAATTTGACAGAAATCATTTAGCACCTTTACACAAAATATTTAGTTGAACTATTCAATACATTTAGTTTCCATTGTCTATTTTGGAACTAGTATAGCAAGAAAGGTCAGCCGTAAATGTACACTACCATGTACAGTCCCAGGGCTGTAATAATACAGGTTTCACTCAAAATGAAAAAAAAAAAAAACTCACAAAAAGAGAGATATCTTGAAAGAAGGGGGAATATTACCCAAATATTGTATCATTCTAGTGCACGTCATGATTGGCTATGTGCTACAAGAAATTGCAATGTTTTCTTCGCATTCTCCGGTTTCCTCCCAATGCTAAAGCCCCCTACTCGCAAGCGAATTATTGAAATAAAATTGAACCATGTGTTATTCCAGAAATGACATAGTTTGTGTCAAGTGGACATTAAACCCCATTTCTCTCTCTCTCTCTCCCTGTATCTGAATCTTACATAATATATCTTTAAATTGTTTGCTGTTTTGTTTATTAACTGTTTTAACTTTCTTCAGGAAAAACAACACCAAATACCAGAAGAACTTGGTAGAGATGCTCAGAGTGTTGCCGCTCTACAGAGGAAACATGCCAACTTTGAAAATGATTTAGTCACGTTAGGTCACCAGGTGGGTACTCAATCTTTTATGGTTTATTTACTTATTAAATAAGATCGATAATCTGTCAGCCATGACGGATGTATTTCGTAGTTTAAGTCTGTATTTTAGAACAGTTTTACCAAATAGCTTGTCATTCCAGCAGGGTCACTATTGATAACTATGGATTTTATAGTATATTTATCTTTTCATGCCTTGTTTAGATTTCGGGGGGTTGGATGGCCGAATGGTTAGCAAGTGCGTGCTATATCTTAAGGCCTGTCAATTGGTTTCTAATCCCCGGTTGTACGTGACAAGGAGTAGGGTCGCCTTGTTTTTTTTCTCCGGGTTTCCTCCCACTGCTAAAGACCCCTACACTCAAGCGAATTATTGAAATAAAACTAAACCATAGGTTAGTTCCCAAATGACCTAGTTTGTGTCAAGTGGACGTTAAACCCCATTTCTCTCTCTCTCTCTCTCTCTCTCTGTTTAGATTTGATTTAAATTAGTTAGTGATTCATTAAAATCCAATCCTTGTCGTCACTAGGTTGAAGCTATTCAAACAGAATCCTACAGATTACAATCCGCGTATGCTGGAGAACGAGCTCAGGATATACAACAACGTGAAGCTGAGGTGATTGAAGCGTGGAGAAATCTACATATAACAGTTGAACGAAGACGCATGCAACTCGCAGACTCTAGTGATCTTTATAAATTCTTCCTGATGGCTCACGACCTGAGATTGTGGATGGATGATATCCAGAGACAGATGAATACACAAGAAAAACCAAGGTATGTTGTCGTTTCACAATTCTGTTTTATTTGTAAACATTCATATTATTTCAGAATTTTCTGTCACCAGATCTTTAACAGTTGGAGTGAATACAGACTGGATTTATAAAGATAATGTGTGTTTTTTATAGCAACACTTAGAATGTAGGGGATCATTGCGGTCAAGAATCATAGGTTCCAATTCTAAGGGAATCAATGTCTGGCCGAAATAGAATAATTTGTTTTATTCATTTATATATTTGTTGTTCGGATGGGACAAAACACGATGTTATCTGTACACTTTGGCGTGTACATAAAAGAAACTATTACAGTTGGAATTTTAGTTGCCTCTGTTCAGGCAAAATTTCCCTCAGCACACTGTATGGCAAATGCCCAACTTCATTAGCAAAGTCTGAGCAGCACAGTAGGATGTTAAACCCCATTTCATTTATATATATGTTGTTTATTTAACAGAGATGTATCTGGTGTAGAATTATTAATGAACAATCATCAGAGTTTGAAAGCTGAGATCGACGCTAGAGAAGAGAATTTTGCTATCTGTATTAATCTGGGTCGTGATTTGTTATCTAGAAAACACTACAGATCAGAGGAGGTAGGAATACAACTCATAAATATTCATAAGTAGAAACACAGTTTGTATGGAAAACAATCACTGGTTAAACTTGTTAACTCATGAAAGCCGTGCTATAAATATAACTTAATGGGGCTTTTAAGAATCAAATTGAATCCAAGCAAGGAGATTTTCTACCGTTTTGTTTTCGTAGTGGAATGAATATATTTTAGCATGTATTAAACCATGAAATATTAGATACTAGAAGGATACCCAGCTTTACAGGGGGCCCAAAGCCCGGGGGTCAGACCAATACCACCAGGCCTGTGTTTCAATCTGGGGGACAGCCCTAGTGTAGCCGCCAACCCTAAACAAACAGACTGACAGACAAACGACAGTCACAAATATTAGTATAGATTGACTGAATTATGTTCGAACGGGATCAGCGTCTTTAAGAGGCCTGATGCTTATATCTGTTAGAACAATGACTCAAGCTAGAACTTTATTTGATCTTCATGGATTTGAAATATTTTATTTTCGTCTTCTAGGTACGAGAGAAATTGATTCAACTAACACTCCAGAGATTGGACATGACCGAACAATGGAGTGACAGATGGGAACATTTACAACTGATCCTCGAAGTCTATCAGTTCGCTCGGGATGCTTCTGTAGCAGAAACATGGTTGATGGCTCAAGATCCTTACTTAAACAACCAAGATCTGGGAGAAACATTAGATGCTGTTGAAACACTCATCAAAAAACACGAGGCTTTTGAAAAATCAGCTGCTACACAAGAAGAAAGATTCGCAGCTTTAGAAAAATTAACAACCGTAAGTATTTTCTCTTATTTGTATCGATGTAACAGATCATTCAAATCGAACATGGTCCCTGTCATCTTATAAAAGGGAAGTCATGGAAATCTTGTCGATCAAATAGAATGTGGTCCCTTTCATCTTATTAAGAGGAAATAGTGCAGATCTTGTTGATCAAATTGAATGTGGTCCCTCTTATCTTGTAAAAGGGAAGTAGTGGAAATCTTGTTAATCAAATCGGACATGGTCTCTCTCATCTTGTAAAAGGGAAGTAGTGGAAATCTTGTTAATCAAATCGTACATGGTCCCTCTCATCTTGTAAAAGGGAAGTCATGGAAATCTTGTTGATAAAATCGTACATGGTCCCTCTCATCTTGTAAAAGGGAAGTAGTGGAAATCTTGTTAATCAAATCGGACATGGTCCCTCTCATTTTATAAAATGGAAGTCATGAAAATCTTGTTAATCAAATCGGACATGGTCCCTCTCATTTTATAAAAGGGAAGTAGTGGAAATCTTGTAAATCATAAAGGTTGGTTGGATGGTCAAGTAATCTAACACTTAGATCATAAGGTCTGTCACTGAATCAAATGAGTAGGATGTTAAACCTTATTTCATTTCTGAGTCAAGTGATGTGGTTTCAATCCAAAACTTGTACGTGACGAGGAGTAGGGTCGTTTCCCAAACTCATTATTTTCCTAATGCTGCTAGAGACCCCTCCCTATATATGAGCGAATTTAGAAATAACCTTGTACCGTATTTCCGATTATTACTATTAGTCTCAAAATGACTTGGTTTGTGTCGAGTGGCCGTTAAACCCATCTCTCTTTGTAGTTTTAAGCTTGCAAGATCTCACTGAAGAAACATGCATGAAAATATTACCATAAAACATTAATAAATATTCATTTACTTCGTCACGTTGAATTAATTTGTTGTATTTTCAGTTTGAATTAAAAGATAGAGAAAAGAGAAAGCAAGAAGAATATAATAAAGCACATCCTGAAGAAGTGGCTAGAAATAAGGAAGCCGAAAGACGACAATATATCCAGGAATTCTTACCACCGCCAGAACCTACGTAAGTTTCACAATTATAACACATTGAGGGGGGGTGGATGGCTGAATGGTCTGTCATTGAGTCAACTGACCTAGTTTCGATTTCCCGGTTGTACGTGACAAGGTGTAGGGTCGTCTGTCCAACCTCGTGGGTTTTCTCCGGGTGTTCCCGTTTCCTCCGACTGCTAAAGACCCCTACACGCAAGCAAATTATTGAAATATTATTGAGTGGACGTTAAACCCCATTTTTCTCTCCCCTTTAAATAAATATTTTGACTTGTTACAGGCCAGAACCAGAACCTGTACGTGAATTATCAGCAGAAGGTTTATCTGTTTCTACTGAACGAGGAACTGGAGATGATGGCGCTATGACCAGCAGCGGAGAAAAGGAAGCAGAATTAACGCCAGGTAATGTCCACATCCATTTTTTCCATCTCGTTAAATGTTGTAAAAATCTTCAGATCCATTCTATATTCAAAAGATGGGAATATTTTGAAAATGGAGTCTTTATCTCGTCTTTAGATATAGACGGAATCTGATAATAAAGTGGCATGTAGTTTCAGCATGGAGTCCATCTTTGTCTAAAGTCGAGTAAAACAGTCTTTTTGAATCTAATAATTAATTTATTGTTATATATTTATTTATTTATTTTTTTTTTCATTTATCATAATTTCATAGTCATTCATAACTAATTGATCATGGCTTTGGTTGAATTAACAAAATTTGCTTTCTTCATGTAAATATATTAAATATTAAAATCAACGGATTAACCAAACATATTTTTTTATTTCATTACGGTCATTCACAACTAATGATCATGGCTTTATTTAACTAAATATGCTTCCATCATGAAATAACATGGTCAACTGCTACTTATCCAAATATATTTTCATTGTAATTTTTTATCACTTTATACTTAAAGAATGAATTAATGTCATTTATCGTATAAATAAGTTACCATACCTTTATTCATACTTGATTAAAATATCAATTAAAAAAAAAATAGGACAGTGTAATGTGAAAGAAAAGAGTAAATGTCTGTGAGGACAGAAAAAATAAGAACATAATTTCAGGCGAGAAAAGAAAATTACAATTACACTATGTATCTTTAAGAGTAACTACTAAGCATTTGATAAATACACCATGCATCTATATGAGTAACAAATACACACTGTATCTTTTGTTTGAGTAACAAATACATGCTATTTATCTTGTGTCAGAGTAGCAAATACACACTCGGTATCTCTTTTAGTAACAAATACACCATGCATCTATATGGGTAACAAATACACACTGTATCTTTGTGAGAGTAACAAGTACGCACAGCATCTTTTGTTTGAGTAACAAATACACATTACTTATCTTGTGTAAGAGTAACAAATAAACACTTGGTATCTTTTTTTGGAGTAATAAATACACCATGTGTCTTTTGTAAGAGTAACAAATGCACACTAAGTTTTTTTTGTGAGGGTAACAATTACACACCATATATCTATATGCTTATCAGAGTTATAATTACAAAATGTGTTTTGTGGGAAGTAACAAATGTGTTATGTATAGCTATAAGAGTAACAATTACAAAATGTGCATCAGGGAAAGTAACAAATGTGTTATGTATAGCTACAAGAGTAACAATTACAAAGTCATATAGTAATTATAATTATACACTTCATCTTTCTAAGTAACAAAACAATGGTGTGTTTAAAATGATGTATCAGGTTCATCATATTCATCATGCTAACAATTTTAATTTCGCTTTCATTGCTTGTGTTTTATTTCCTTCCTGTGCTTTCTGTGATGTTACTATAGGAACCAGCAAGGAAAAACCTCAAACAAAACGTAAGCTATATATGGACGTAATAAATGTTGTGCCATTAGATCTAGACCAGTACATTATATTTTCTGTTTTTATATATATATATTGTTAAACCAAGGGCAGATAACTGCTCTAGCTTTTCTTATAAATCATTGGAAATTTGCGTTGTACAGGTGCGCTAGTTGATATATACATGTTTATAGTGAGGGCATGTCTTAATAACGCTTGCATTTTATTTGATATATTTTATCCATGTCCATGCTGATTTGATCATCCCAAGGATTTGCGCCTATATACTATAATCGGTATCATCTGTTTTTCAAGATAATCGGGGCTTGTTTTGTATTGGCTTTATTGATGGATTGTTATTAACCTCATACAGCCCTACGATTACGCAACCGATATGTTTTGAGTTTTCGGTGGTTATATTTGTTGAATGGATTGACTGGTTTGTGTTAAATTTAGCTTTTGGAGGTTTGATAATGGTGTGGTATTTGGGCTCAGATTTTTACCCTAAAGGCCTATTTGCATTGTTTTAATACCGGTAGCCTGAAACTTAGAATAGTGGTCGAGAACGGTTAGCTTGAATAAACCATTGATTTGTGTTGCTGTAGCATTATTATAGTTTAAAACCTTTGAGCAAGTATTGGGGTCACGCTAGATTTTGACACAAGAAATCAGATTATAATTTTTGCATCCTCCAAATAGTGTTCAGGCTCTGTTTGAACTTTGATGGTTAAATGACAGATCAAGAAACTGTTGAGCTAAATATATATAACATGTCTGCCTGCGGCTGCTAACTAACACAAATTCATGTTCATTTGTTTTGTTTTGTTTGTTCGTAATCATGTCATTTACTAACCATATTTTAAATATCATCTTCATTTTATACAAATACACTGGCTTTTGTTGAAAATAAAAAAACTTGCACTGTAATCAAGGTATCATTTAATCTTGTGTATTTAGCACTAATATTTGTTTAAACATTCGTAAAAATCATTTAAAATCATCTAATTTGTACATGTGTCCAGTTTAAAGCTGACTGATTAATTTTGATAAAGAGTGTCCAATTACAAGTATTTAATTTCCTGACCACTGTTCAAAAATTAATCATTATACTCAATTGGGTTGTTTATTTTTTAACAGTGATCAAGAAATTAAATACATGTAAATTTGACACTCTTTATCAAAACTGAATGGTCAGCTTTAAGCAGGACACAAGTACAAATTAAATGAATTTCAGTGATTTTAAATGATTTTTACGAATTAAGGATTTGATATTGAATGAAATTAGGGCTAGATACACAAGATTAAATGATACCCGGATTACAGTGTTGTCTTCATTGTTCTTTAAAAGAAAATAATTTGGAGTCCATATAAAAGTTGACATGAATTGTTCCTGGACCATCCAGTGGATGAATGTTGCAAAATTTATATGAAATGAAACTGTGCTTAATGTCAGACTGTTCTGCGCCAACCTGGCTAAAAAAGACGGTGCAAATTAAATTTTATAACCATCAAGAAAAGATGAAAATGGTAGCTTTTATATTTTTACAAATGTCACTGTATTTGTTATCATGTTTTCCATCACTTCAATTATATCTGTTCAGGCTAAAATCTATATTTAGCATCTGTTCAGACCTAAATCTATATTTAGCATCTGTTCAGACTAAATTCTATATTTAGCATCTGTTCAGAACTTCAGACTAATCATTGGTTTAGACTAAAAATTTATATTTAGCATCTGTTCAAACTATCTATATTTATATATTTAGCATCGGTTCAAACTAATATTTAGCATCGGTTCATCTCATTCATCCATTTTTTTTATTTTTTTATTTTTTTTTTAAATTGAATTTGAGCTATTTTTTGATAGTGAATTGTTTAAGAATAGTGTATGTATGTTTGTAGTAAATGATAAATGTTAGATAGAATTAGTCCTTTAATTTATACATATTTGTGAATTTTAATGAAATAACCCTAATTAGATTTAGTTTATTCTTCTTCAAGGCATTTTCAACTTTAAATAAATCTGGTTATTTACAGAATCTTTTTCAAGTTGAAAATCTCTTTTCTTATATAACACTTTTAATTAATGTTTTGGGATGGATAAATAAATTTTTAAAAAAAAACAGGGATTTTTGCATGTGTAATAAAATCATTGATTTTAATTTAAACAGATAATAACATATTTATTAAAGTGGTTTTAACATAATTTGATGGGTTATTAAAAGTGTTATATTAGAATTTGTAATGTTGTTTATTAAAGGGAAATTCTTACTCTATAATAAAAGGGCTGAACGGTAAAAACTTTTAACCAATGTCCAATATGTCCTATTTCTAGATTAATTGAATACAAAGCAAAGTAGCAATATTAATTTATAAAAAAATAAACGCGTCTAGTATCTTGGAGATACATGTATTACAATCTACCAACTTATTGCTTCTAACAAATCCCCACTTTTGTCAAAAATAATGTTTGAAAACGCTGATTCTTAATTGGTTGACAAGCAAAATAACATTTCTCCACCGTTGGCGAAAATGACAATAAAATTATTCTGATTTATAGATTTATTGAGAGCCACAGTGGCTAAGTGGGAAAGACGCTGGCTCACTAACCTGGAGGTCTCGGGTTCGCTCGAAATCAGATTTATTATTTCTGAAGAAATTCAAGAATCGTTAAAAGTAAACCTGATCACATTGGGAATCATGAAACACTGCCTATAACTTTTCAAAATATTATGACTAATTTTTGCGATGGAGTAGGGGGGGTTGGATGGCCGAATTGTTAGCATGTGCGTGCTGTATCATAAGGTCTGTCATTGAGTCAGCTGGCGGGTTTTGGATTGCCCGGTTGTACGTGACAAGGTGTAGAGTCGCCTGTCCAACCTCATGGGTTTTCTCTGGGCCCTCTGGTTTCCTCCCACTGCTTAGACCCCTACGCGCATTAGGTCTGTCATTGAGTCAACTGGCGTGGTTTCAATTTCCCGGATAGGGTCCTCTGGTTTCCTCCCACTGATAAAGACCCCTACGCGCAATTATTGAAATAAAATTGAACCATATGTTAGGTCCGAAATGACCAAGTTTGTGTCGAGTAGATGTTAAACCACATCTCTCTCTCTCTCTCTGGCCCAGGATGGAGTAAGAATTTGTCTTTAAAATGTTGTTTGTTGTTGTTTTACTTGATGTTAAGCATGTTATTGTTTTGCATGTTGTTTGTGCTCTTATAACAGAAATGGACAGAGATGTGTCGACACCCAAGTCAGCACCAAAACGAGAACAATTATCACCGTTGTCGTCACCTGAATCGCCGGCTGCATTCTCGCCGTCACCTAAAGCATCTCCACGATCACAATCCAGTAGGTTTTAATTCTAGGTTTATTTAATATGACTTCGAGCATCTCCACGAATATAATCCAGTCGGTTTGAATTTCAGATTATTTAAATACAATTCAAGCTTTCATTCGTTGGGTAAATATAGATCAAATATAACTAAGGAAATACGACAAGTCCTGAAAGAAATAGTAGTTTTAACAGTATATAGTGCCAACAATTCAAAGGCAAAGGGGAGTAACTCTCAGTCGGACATTATTATTTCATTGTGCTGATTTAATATAATCTATTGCATGGATTTAGATCCTCCTTAGTTCTGTTCCAGAAATATTCTCGGCTTGGACTGAAAATAAGATTCACAATGTTTCCAAGTCTAGTTTTCATTTGTCAAAAGAGTGGTGCCTGCGGTGCATGTAAACAAAGCCTTGGCTGTTGGAATTCGAAGAAGAGTAGGTGGAAGCTCTACCGCCTGGGCAAAATTCTCTCCCTTGCATTAAACTCTTCCCCATTGTTGACCGAAGTATTGCCATAACAAAACTTTGAACCCATTCATATTGCCAAGAACTGGTAACTGACTGTGGAAGTAAATTTCTGTCTCAGGTCTAAAGTGGATTAATATTACATTAATCCCTGTGTTGGATTTAGATGAAGAGAGGCTTTTGTCTATTCCTCTATGAGTTCCCTCCCAATCCCCACCCTCACGACTAGAGGGAGGTGAAAGTGTCATTTGAGTCGAGGATGAAGACGTGTAATAGTGTCCAAACAATTGTTCGGAGGATCCTTGAACTGGAGGCCTTAAACTGCCCAGCCTGCCAGGCAAATAAATAAATCTAGCACTGACCAAAACCCCTGTTTTTTTGTGGAATATAGATATTTTTATCACCATTATACTTCTATATATCTAGTGCAGTGGTTCTAAACCTTTTTTTGTCAACGGCACACCTGGGAACACATGAAAAAAATAGCGGCACACCTGGCTAAATATATATGAAAAATATCTGAATTTTGCAAACCTGGCAAGTCATAGATGACATTCAACCGTAGACAAGACTAGTCATAGACACATGGGATGACTCAAACTAAATAAAGAAAAAAACACAGCTATGTATTTACTCAATTGCAGTGTTTCGAAGTTCATCAGTCAAATAGCTGACTTATTTAGTGAGAAATTTTCGTCGTGGGCTGTTTCACGGCACACTTAGGAAGCTCTGTGGCACACAGGTGTGTCGCGGCACATTAATTGAGAATCACTGATCTAGTGCCACATTTAGAGTCTCATCAATATTTTTTTTGATTTAAGTGTCTTTGTTTATTTTAGTCCAAAAGATTTTAAAATCTTTTATTTTTTTAGTTTCTTTTTAGAAGGGCACTTTATTTTAGTTTAGCATGTGGTATTATTATTTTTGCTTCTTATTTTAATTTTTATTAAAACAATGAACTAGTCATAGTACAGAATTAATCCAGCTAGTCCAAAAAAATAAATATTTTAAAAAATGAATATATTTAATAGACTTTTTAATTAAAAAGAAAAGATGATTTTTTTGCAATACATTAAAAAGATTTGATGCTTCTGAAATTAAGTTTTGTAAAATTTCCACTTAAATTTGATCAGAAATTAATGTTCAAATTCTTGATTAAATAAATTTTGATTTACTTACGGTACAGATGATGACATCAAAGTTTTGCAAAGAAAATCGGTGACCTGACGTATCATTAGATTCTTTTCTTTGCGTTCTCATTTTTTTTTTTATGCATGTTTTAAAGAATAGTGTGCGGGAGTGGGGGATTTGATGACCCCCCAAAATATTAACCTTCTGTGACCCCCAAAATGAGCTGTTGTTGAATGGACGTAAAACACCATTTTTCTTCCTACCTGGGTCACTCAATTTATATAAATCGACTGCTTTCTTGCCCAAACACTTGTGAATGGTGGGTATATTCAGAAATAGTTTACCCCAGGGTTATTGTGTCGTCTGGTATATGCAGGACATGCCCTACGTGAATTGACAAAGGTCTGACCCTTAGTATACCCAAACAAACATCAAGATAATGGTGAATCAAATTCAAAATTCCCAAAAAACTTTTCTGGGTCATAATCTTTGTTTATACATCAAGTAAAGTTGGATGGCCGAATAGTTAGGTCTGTCATTGAGTAAAGTGGCGTGATTTCGATTCCCCACTTGTACGTGAGTTTTCTCTGGGTCCTCCAGTTTCCTCCCACAGCTAGAGACCCCTACACGCAAACGATTTATTGAAAAATATTGAACCATGTGTTAGTCCCGAAATGACCTAGTTTGTGTCGAGTGGACGTTAAACCCCATTTCTCTCTCTCTCTGTCATTGAGTAAAGTGGCCTGATTTTGATTCCCCACTTGTACGTGGGTTTTCTCCGGGTCCTCCCACTGCTAAAGACCCCTACGCGCATGTGATTTATTGAAATAAAATTGAACCATGTGTTAGTCCCAAAATGACCTAGTTTGTGTCAAGTGGACGTTAAACCCCATTTCTCTCTCTCTCTTTGATCTTATTTTAAATTTTAATATCTCTCTGAAACTTTCTCCCTTGTCAGTGATGCAAGACGGAGGGGCTGACAAGGAAAGCTGTCTAGTCGTTCGGATGGGACGAAAAACCGAGGTCCCGTGTACACATTGGCGTGCACGTAAAAGATCCCTTGGCAGTTGGAATTCGATATAAGAGTAGGCCGTAGTGCCGCTGTCCGGGCAAAATTTCCCTCATAGCACACTGTATGGCGTATGCCCGTCTTCATTAGCCCAGGTTAGGAGCAGAACAGTAGGACGTTAAACCCCATTTCATTTCATTTCTCTGAAACTTGCCAATACAGGGGAGAAACAAGATGACATGCATTGAAAATTGAATGGTGTTGAGAGAGTTTCTGTACATTATTTTGGTGTGCGTTAACGTTGAGGTGTTTGGTTAGAACAGATTGGTGATTGTTGTTTTTATATTTGTATTTTAAAAACTTTTTATCGTCGTTCGGGTGTTGGTATATTTTGAGGATTTCAATTTTTGTTTTTTAAATTTTTCTTTTTTTATGGTTTGTTTTTTCGTTTTTAGCACATTTTATTTTACTTTCACTTTTTCTTTTTAAATGGAATTTTCGTTTGCATAGAGGAAAAATGGTGTCTTCTGGTGTAGCGTAACTGTTTAGCTTTCTCTAGAAATGCATTTTTCATTTGGGTCGGGACAATTTGTGGCAGTTTTTGTCGATGAATGCTGTGAAATCAAGTTAATAAATGCTCCCATTGATTTCTGTGTAGCTAAAGAGAAGAAAAGATCACGATCGAAATCACCGTTTGGAAAATTTTTCTCTCGAAAGAGAGACCAAGATAACGAAGAAGGTAAATGGTTGCCATGGTAACCTGTGTTCTAGTAGTTACAGCATAGTTTGTCTTTCTCTGTCTCTCTCTTGTTTTCCTATCTTGAAATTCTAGAAGTTTCCATTGACGCGATGACTATTTTTGTGGACCCACGACCCCTCACTGGGTGTTTTTAGTAGATAGTCTTTTGGTGTTAGAGAGTATGTAGTTGGCGTGTGGTTCATTCCTTCAACTGATCATATAGTCACCACTTGGAATCATATGACAGTCCTCAGCTAGCTGTGTGAAGGGTTTCTTTTTTACGGATGCTAATAATTAGATATTCCGTCAGCATTGATGTTTAAGTTCTCAGAATCTTTGTAATGTTGAATGATGTTAATATTTTCTGTCTGATCAATATTAATTATCAGTCTAGATTTTGTTTTAAACACATCAGAGTCCCCATTCATGAAAGTGTAAACTAAAATATTTTGAGGATACTGATTGTTCATTGGCTGAGCACTAAAATCATCACATAAATTTTCGCTCCTGACCAATGAAAAGGCAGCATTCTTAAAAATTGTTAGTTTATGCTGCTGTGAATAAGAAGACCACAGTGTTCTGAATATTTATACAAAATCTTATTTTGTGTTTCTTCCTTGCAAACTTGATTTGTAACTGTTTGATTGGATTTAATTCAACTCTAGATATGTTGTCATATTAATATTCTGAATATTGATGACAGTATCTAATTTTGCGTTTCCTCTGTTTAAACTCCAGTCTTGAAACTACCTTCCGATTGTAGATTATGACTCACTCCCTATGTAAAACATTGTTGGCACTTTGACTTCTACCATTGACCGGAGGCTCGGTGGGGGTGTCCATAAAATGGGCACAAAACTAGACCCAATTGTTCTTTAGTAAAATTTTGCGTACAATACCTTTGACCCGAATATCTCGAAAATGCCCCAACGGCGGACTGATTAACACTCGGCAACGTATTCTACACAAAGTTTTACTATAGAAAAGTTTGGTTTTGTGCTCATTTGATGACCCCCCCCGCGCACTGAGCCTCCAGACTACAAGATATACAAATGAAAATTTCTTATCATTGTTCTTACACAATTTTTTTTTACGTTATTTAGTAATAAGGTAAGAATCTGAAAAACACAAAGAAACATGATATCAAGTTGAAATATTTGCTTATATTAGTATTGTTTCCTGTCAAATCACCCTTTTAGCGATCACAAACTTCAGTCTAAATTAAACGTCAGTGTGCACCAAGACACCCATTTGTCAAGCTGTTTTCATCTTCCATTCTGAAATTATCCAAATTTTTAGGAATATTCTTGAATAAAATCTCTCGTATTCAGCATACCAACGTTTGAAAAATTCTTAAACAAATTATTTTATTAATATAGGAGGTTTTTAATGAATCTTTGAGAGAGGATTGCCTAATATTTTTTTTTTTTTTAAATTCAACTCTAGTAAATTTGTTGCCTGATATTGAACGAGTTCTGATCAAATTAAACTGATTTTATACACAGATTGAGAGAATGAAACTCCTGCAAAATAAAAATAAAAAAGTGAAAGTAGAGAATGAAATTGATGAATTGTGGATTGTTTTTTTGTAGAACAAGCATCAGGTGGAGGAGATGTCCCACGAGAAGAAGGTATGCTGACACGTAAACATGAATGGGAATCAAGTGACAAGAAGGCTGGAAACAGGTTAGTGGAAGTTTTGATTAACTTTTATCGCACGCCCAACAAAGTTAAAGGCTCAATACCACTCTTGTTGTAACTGAATAATATGTCCCAATCTTTATTCTGATCAACAAATTGTACTATTTTACAATATTCCAATTAATTGATGATACAAATTTCATCTTAACACACCTAATTAAAAAATTGGAAAAATTCAACTAAATGATTTGAAAAGCCTGACGTAAAGCTTTTCAAATGTGACTTGGATTTAAAAATATTTTCGAATAGAATTTAATGGATAATTTACACAACAGGTAGGACACATAAACATCTAATACTTAGAATAAGGCTATTATTTATTTTCTGGAGCTGTCAAGCCAGCAAGAGTGTTATTGTCCCTTCAATGGGGATGGATATTGTAACTGGCTTCGTTCTTCCGTCCGGGGTTTGTTTCTAGATGGAAGGTGGGTGGCTGAGTGAATGGTTCTTTAGATCATAAGGTCCGTCGTTGAATCCTGTGCATGTAAAAGAACCCTTGACATTTGGAATTCAGAATAAAAGTAGGCCGTAGCCCTGCTATACTGATGAAATTTCCCTCGTAGCACACTATGGCGTATGACCGTCTTCATTATCCCACAGTCAATGCACTTTTGTTATGTTATCCTCTTTAAATTAATCCTCGATACTTCATTTTAGCGCTATAGGAATCACATGCCAACTACAATATTGTGAAACTCAAATCTCTTAAAGAAAACAGTCAATCTATGATGTTTGCTATGTTATAAGCCCGCCATCCTTTTTGTTGTCCGCGAAAATTTATTGGTAGGCTTATATTAAATCCGATAGAATGCAAGCTGGGAGGTTATCTAGGGTTGATATTTTGATTTTGTATTCTTAGTTAAATGTTAAATAATCAAGCTGAGTACATATTGGCATGGAATAAGCTCCAAGAAATATGATATTTCAGCGAAAAAGTTACGCTAACTTATTGCCTTGTGTTATGTGTTTCAGATCGTGGGATAAAGTCTATACAGTTTTATCTGGGTCACAATTATCGTGCTACAAGGACCAGAAACACGCAAAATCGGTAAGTCTGAACAGATACAATAATATACAAGATGAAAGCAAAAATATGTGGTTTAAAATGTGATTTCCATTTCTGAAGACTGATTCTGTGATTTCCACGTAAGGCCCTAACTATGTTACAAACCCAGTAAGACCGTCATATAAATTGCGTTAGGTTTTTGGATATAGATGAGACAAGCTTTGGTTGCTCACCAGGGAAGGGTTTCTCGTATATTTAGTATTTTGATACTGTTGTATATGTTATAATAAAATGTTGAAGCTAGATAATCTCTTATTTCTGTTAACCCAAATTATGTTATAAAGTACAAAGCAAGTAAGACCGTCATACTGTTTTTCAGTTATTTTGACTGCTCTGCGTCAGTTTACAAAAGATATCATGTAGACAACGAGCACAAGTAAAAAAAAAACATTTATCAGAAATACACAAACTTGACGCATTTCATACACAAAATATGATATAAATTTAATTTTCATAATTAATTCGAAAATATTCTGTTTTTAAGCGTTTCTTGAAGGAATGTATACTGGACAATGATCCAGAAATTATCTGTTCCAGTATCTTCCAAAGCATAATAATAATCAGAGTTATTTTCTAGAGTGCTGAACATTCAGTCACTTTTGCTGTTTGTGGTGCCTTAGAAAGGATATATACATGTAACAAGTACATGTAAAACAAAATTAACAGATCACAAATTTTCGACTGGTGCAGTTTCGAATCCCCGGTTGTAAGTGAAACGAGTAGGGTCGCCTGTCCAACCTCGTGGGTTTTCTGCGGGTCCTCCATTTTTCTCCAACTGCTAAAGACCCCTGTGCGCAGGCGAATTGTTGAAATAAAGTTGAACCATGTGTTGGTCCCGAAATGGCCTAGTTTGTGTCGAGTGGACGTTAAACCCCATTTCTCTCTCTCTCTCTAGATCACAAATTTGACGAGTTCCATACACAAAATATAACATAAATTTAATTGTCATAATTCGAAAATATTGTTTTTGAAATGTTTCTTGAAGGTTGATATATTTATGTTTTAGGATCCTAAGAATCGTATACATCATGAGCCAGCTATTGAATTACTCGGTGGACAAAGTAATGTGGCGTCTGACTACACCAAACGACCATCTGTATTCCGTTTAAAACTTGCCAATGGTGGTGAATATTTATTCCAGGCAAAGGATGATGTAAGTAATTGTAAAAGTTGTTTATGAATAAAAGGTCTGGAAGTGAAGATTTTATTGAGGCACAAATGAGCTACAATTGTATCAGCCAGTCATAAAGGAGCTACAGATAATTAACTGTTAATCGCAGGATTTGCGGATGCACTTTGACGGAATGGTGTCAACAGTCGCCATTGAATAGGCGATGTTTTGTTAAATGTATTACTGAAGTAGTGACCGCTGGCCATGTTCAAGTGACCATTTAGTAAAGAGATGATACTAAAGTATTTGTATGGAGGGAATTTATTGTGACCGCTAGCCTGGAGGTCGGGTGTTCGATCCCTGCATTGGCCGAGAAAGTACATTGTGATTTTCTGACATGGTTCCCCCCTTGTCCGGTACGAAAAACCGAGGTCCTGTGTATACATTGGCATGCACGTAAAAGATCCCTTGGCAGTTTGAATTCGATATAAGAGAAGGCGATAGTACCGCTGCCTGGGCAAAATTCCCCTCATAGCACACTGTATGGGGTATGCCGTCTTCATTTGTTTCGTCGGAGCAGAAGAGTGCACGTTAAATTTCATTTCATGGGGAATTTATTGTGATTGCTTATCTGGAGATGTCGCTGAGTAGGAATGGATGCTCATACAGATTCTACTGTATCATTACGATAATTTTGATAATTTCTTAATTATAATGTTACGATTTTTTTTTTTTTTTTTAGACTGAGAGAGATACATGGATTTTACGTATAAATGGTTGTACAGGAGGAGAGGGTGCCAGTATGCCATCACGTTCACAGACGCTTCCAGCACGTACAGACGAGTCAAAGAAAGAGGAACACAAAAAACGCAGCTTTTTTACGCTGAAGAAAAAGTAAATTAAGGACATTTAATGACTAAATATGGGCATAATGCTTTGGATGGAATCTCGAACCACACAATAGAATACTAAGGAAGAAGAAACGCCATCTTAATTCCCTGTGAGAAGTAGTGATCAGCATTTTTAGATAGAATATATATATCGACATCTATTGTAATTTATTAGACTGAAACAAAACTGGAGAAATTATCATAACCGACACTCGGAGTAAAATACATTTTAAATTTTTTTTTTTTTTTTTTAACTTTTTATTTTCTTTATAGTATTTTTAATTTGTATAATTCACGCATTTTTAATCGTTCTTTATGACTCCAGCTATTAACATTGGGATGTGAATTAAAATTAACATTCCATGTTCTGTGATTTCGCTATATGTACACTACACTTCACCTGCATGCTTCTTGCCGCCTACCACCATCAGACACAAGACAGGATGCAGACGTGAACAATGGATGTCATCGATCAAGGGAAGAAGAAGAAAAATAATTTTAGATTATTTTTTTTTAGTGTGGACAATCGTTTTGGATAATTTTATTATCGCTGAAACTGTTTAAATGTTGGGATCAGATTCTATTCAAAGCAGGATCGAAGCTGCCTGCTTGTTGTAGAAACAAGGAATTGCTTTTTTTTTTAAAAGAAGTGTTATAATGACTTTCATGCTGTGCTGAATCTGATGGAGCTATTTATAGATAGAGATACGAATGGAATATCATCGTCGAGGAAACTAGTTTGGAATATTAGGAAATAAAGAAAGTAGAAAATAATCATTATTCGTTTGTTAGATTTTTCGCGTTTTCATCTTCTACGGTCTTCATCTGTTGGACGTCGTCGTCGCATTCCATCTATGCAAGGCAGATGTAAATCTAGTTTCAGCTCGTGTCGTTAACTTGTGGCCTCGCAGACGTTCAGGTGTTTACAACAAGACGTCCTTTTTAGACTCATCTACATTGCTTGGATACCGTTGTTATGGTTACTAAGCTGTTGTCATGGTAACGCCTCCAGTGACCTGTACAAGTTATAACCAATCATGTATTTGTGACTCGTATATAAACATATATATATATATTTAATCTGTTACGTTTAATGAACTTCAGTTCACTTATGTAATGAGCTCTACTTTGGTTTTTATCCAATTTCATGCTTTTCACGTGAGCGAAAGCCGAGAAACACTTTAACAAAATCTCTTAACTAGACACGTCACATGATTTCATTGATAGACATTTGATTAAAGAAAAATGGCTTAAGAAAATCATGTTTTCGTATATATGACGAAAATAGTCTTGTTTGTCAAGTTTTGTTATAATAATGGCAAAAGAAACTTTATAACTAAATCTCTTTACTGGAAAGACAACATGATTTTGTTGGTAGACATTATACTACAGAAACCTATGGTTAGAAAAGGCCAATCACATTTCCGTTTATAAATTACGAAGTTTCGTTAAAATGTCTCTCGGCTTATTATTACAACTTTAATTGTAGATAGTGTAATGACTTTGAAAAAAAAGAGTGTTGTAATTTTCAAGAGAAGACTCTGTTTAGTATTAAATGGTAGCTTTCGTGTATGAAATGTAGTCTTTATTATAAATTTATTGTTGGGTTGTGTTGAATTGTTAAAGAGTTACAATGTACCGAGATGGGTGGGAATATCGTGGTGCATGGATTATTTTTTTTTTTTTAAAGTAAATTTAGAGCCTTTTTGCTCTAAGGACTCTTGTTGTAGACTTTCTTTTAATATTATTATTATTACTTGAAATCATGTTATTTTAGCCTTTCATTAATTAATCAATCAATTGATATATCATAGTAGAATTTGCTCCAACGGTTTTTTTTAAAACTTTTTTTGGTTTTAATTACTCGTAGATTTTGCATCTTTTTATAAGCGAGGGTATGAGGATACCGTCTTTAAATGACATAATCGTACCCAGTGCCTGTAAAAATCAGTGTACAAAATATTTGAGATATTGAAACAAAAAAAAAAGTGATTTCATTTGTCGTTAAAATTTCATCATTTTTAATAATGGTCGCTGTTTTAATCCTTTAATCCATCATTAAGCAAAATGTAGTATCCAATTTTAGTGTGCCATCATCTGATATCTATATATATATAACATATTCCATCAATTATAATCAGTAAATGTAGTCTAAATGTAAGCCACTCTTTCATTCTTCATGTTGAACCAATGGTAGACCGTATGATTTACCAATCAGTGGTTAGACATGATTCGAGTCCAGTCTCACTTAACCAGTGGGTATATTCTCTTACGTAATTTGGACTCTCTATCATTTGAAAATTGGAATGGGATAAAAACCGGAGTGGGATTGGTCGGGACCAATTCATTCTGCAAAATCGCATGAATGGAGAAAATGATCTCCAAAAATCATATGCTTCCATCCGGTAGAAACTAATTGGAGAGTCCAGATTTCTTAATAGAATCCACCTTAATTGTTAAATCTTAGGATTTGAAAGAGCCTAGTTAATTGAGACTAGATACAATTCATGGTAAATTGCACTTGACTGTTTTTATGTTGCATAATGATTGTATTGTTATTTACCGTATGTAAACCTAATTCTCTAATCTCCTGATATGTGCTTTTTCCCATTCATATCTGGTTCGCTGCTTTCACCATGTTTTGTATTTGCTTAAAAACATAAAATATGAGATACATGTCATCTTTATTTAGTTGTTTATTTCAATGTGGGCGTATTATTTTGTCATTTTGTGGGTCAGGTCAATCTGTCGACAATTGGCTTGTGAACGCGATAAAGGCCACAGTTTGGTGTGAAGCGTTATGGTCATGACAGGCCCAGTGTTTTGCAACATTTCGTAACAGAGTTATGCATCTTAGTCATTTATTTCACATATTCCTGAAGCAATGGCCCGATAAACCCCTCTCTAACCATTGCTGTATTGAGACTGAAAACTTGAGTCTTTGACGGAGCGTGTCCATTCTCATCGTCCAATCAAATCTCTCCAGAGTAAAATATAGGAAATTTTCAGGACTTAAATGTGTACCAATTGTTACTGCCAACCTTTAAATATTCGATAATATTTATCCATTTTTGTGAAGAAAATCTATGAATTATTTAGTTTATCAAAAAAACAAATGTATTTCTATCCAGTTTGTTGAAAAACAATATGCAACATGGCAGCCCTTCTCTTTGATCTGCACAGCAATTACCAAATCGTCGCTTTTCTGGCAAACCGGTGAATCTGAAATATTTCAGTATTGAGAATTATGCGTTTTAAATTTGCATTCTGTTGTTATCTCTATGTCCATCAAATATTAACAACAGAGTGCAAATTTCAAATGCATAATTCTCAGTACTTTAATATTTCAGATTCACCGGTTTACCAGAAAAGCGACCAAATGTTTACATTGTAGCTATTTTGGATAGCCTCTTTTATCACACAATCAGTTTCTCTGCAATATTCTGTTATGTACTAGTTAATTGAGCGCAATACATTTCACGCATTCTGACGTGACACCAGACACTTTATGGTAACATATTTAGAGCTCTGGTTAATCCCAATTGATTTTGTTATATACTGGTTGTTAAACGGACTGTTAACCAGTCATCATAAATTGGGACAGAAATTTGTGCCGAGTATGGCAGTGTTAGTGGGATTAGGTCTAATCAAACGAAACACTGCGAGGAGTATGTTTATTTCAATGTGGGCGTATTATTTCGTCACTTTTTGGGATAGGTCTGTCTGTCAACAATTGGCTTGTGAATGTGTTCAAGGCCACAGTTTGGTGTGAAGCATTATGGACATGGTCATGAGAGGCCCAGTGTTCCACAACAGAGTTATGCTTCCTTTTCCAAGTTCGCTTTAGATGTCATTGAATCAAGTGACATGGCTTTGGTTTCCAGCTTGTACCTGGCAAGGAGTAGGCTCATCTGTCCAACATCATGGGAAATGAAATGAAATGGGGTTTAACGTCCTACTGTTCTGCTCCAAACTGGGCTAATGAAGACAGGCATACGCCATACAGTGTGCTATGAGGGAAATTTTGCCCGGACAACAGCACTACGGCCTACACTTATATCGAATTCCAACTGTCAAGGGATCTTTTACGTGCATGCCAATGTGTACACGGGACCTTGGTTTTTCAAACCATCCGAACGACTAGACAACTGTCTTTGTCACGTCCTCCATCCCTTACAAGAGGGAACCACGCCAATATCATAGGTAATCTCCAGGTCCTCCGGTTTCTTCCCACTGCTAAAGACCCCCCACACCCAAGCAAATTATTGAAATAAAATTGAACCATGCTAGTGTCCAGTGGAAGTTAAACCTGTTTTCAGTCTCTCATTTTCATAAGCCAGTTGGTCGATCCGGTTGGTAGTTTTAGCTCCCTCCCTTACGCACAAACGAATTATTGAAATAAAATTGAACCATGCGTTAGTCCTGAAATGATCTTGTTTGTGTTCGTATCCCCGGTTGTACGCGGCAAGGAGTAGAGTCGCTTGTTCAACCTTGTGGGTTTTCTCTGGGTCCTCCGCTTTCCTCCCACTGCTTAAAGACCCCCTACGGGCAAGCGAATTCTTGAAATAAAATTTAACCATGTGTTAGTCCCGAAATGATCTTGTTTGTGTCAAGTGGATGTGAAACCCTATTTCTCTGTGCTAAGGCTGATTTGTGATTTATGATTAGAAAACAATGTATAAAGAACAAAATTTCTGAATCCATTATGTCAATGGCCAGGAATTCCTTTTGACTTGCTTTATAAAAGGAATCACAGGGGCTAAATGAGTAAAATGTTGGCTCGCTAAATCATGGATTCTGTGTTAGATTCAGGTGTTGGCAGAGAAAATCGGGACTAATATTTAATGTATATTTATTTCAATAAAATTGCCTGCTTGATTGAAATTAAAAATAAGAATAACCCAAAATAACAAAAGACCTCACTACAGAGGAGTGTTCACTTGGCCGGGGGAGCCGTAAAAGATCCCTTGGTAGTTGCCCTCATAGCAGCGATACAACCTACTCAACGAAGCCTGCTGTCTAGCAGCCCGAATGTACATGTAACTAAGTAGAGTCAGTTGTCAGGTTCAAAAATCGACTATTATAAATGATGTTGTGATAATACTCATCACACGCCGCAACAATAAATTTAAAACTGTTATTTTCATAATGTTCAGGTATTCTTCACAGCAATTATGGAATCGTTCGGAAAAAGAAAAGAGGGTGAATGAGATTAGGTCAATGATATTGAAAATAATGCTTCTCTAAAACGATTCCTGATAAAACATTGAGATTTGTAGGGATTATTCAATATTTATTATTGAAGGTACATCACAATCTCGGCTCCCAGAGATAACTTTACCCAGTTCACTTGTAGCCATGTGTGTTTGGACTCTCAGTGAAGTCTTTCTGGCACACTCATCCAGATTAGTTTGGCTAGTTAGAGATATCCCAAGTGCTGCAAATACTGCAAGGCCCTGCAATGAAAAGAAAACCCAAAATTTCTTTGTGAGAGAGAGAGAAATGGGGTTTAACGTCCACTCGACACAAACTAGGTCATTTCTGGACTAACGTATGGTTTAATTTTATTTACATAATTCGCTTGCGCGTAGGGGTCTTTAGCAGTGGGAGGAAACCGGAGGACCCGGAGAAAACCCACAAGGTTGGACAGGCGACCCTACTCCTTGCCACGTACAACCGGGGATTCAAAACCACGCCAGTCGACTCAATGACAGACTTTATGATACAGCGCGCGCACGCTAACCATTCAGCCATCCAACCCCCCCCCCCCCAAAAAAATTTCTTTGTATAATTTTGTATCCTTGTACTGTACCTGATGTCATACTACTGCTCTGCTTAAACTCGGCTCCCAGAGAGACAAAAAAATGAAATTAAAATTATTCAAGACTGTCAGACATAAAACGTGTCAACTGTCATTCAAGCTATCATACAAATAAATCTTTATCCATAGGCTTATAGTCATTACGGGACTAACACGGTTCAATTTTATTTCCATAATTTGCTCGCGCATAGGGGTCTTTAGCAGTTGTAGGAAACCAGAGGACCCAGAGAAAACCCATGAGGTTGGACAGGCAACCCTACTCCTTATCACGTACAACCGGGGAATCGAAACCACGCCAGTTGACGCAATGACAGACTTAATGGTACAGCGCGCACATGCTAACCATTCAGCCATCCAACCCTCCAAAAATAGGCCTATGTATGTGCCAGTACAAAGACTATGATATTTTAAAGGGGCATAATGGGAGATTAGATAAAGAGTTGACAGTTCTGCTACAATAGTTAAAAAAAATAGGTAACATAAATAGAATATGCTAAATATTTCAGTTAAATTTCTCCACTCTGAACTGAGATATTAGCTTTTAAATTTTAGGCTAGCCTCGATCATCATTACTATTAAGTCTTGATTATCCATGTAGCGATGGTATCGAAAGTTGATTATGGTCTGGATAAGTTAATCAATGTCTAATTAATAATTTAGATAATATTTCAGGCCTAAAGAAAGACCTACAATACATGTAAGCAAATTTAGCTCTTGGATAATGTACGTTTAAGTTATAAAGATGAAAACCTTACTCACCCGATCCGTAATGCCATATTTGGCCAATACAAGAGTTATCATACGCTGATATGCACTTAGATGCGGACATCTTGCTTTCAATAGGATGCCATATACCATGGTCACGGGGCCAAGCATACTGGGTACAGGTATATTCACTCCACAGGCTATTGTAACTAACACATCAAGCAGGAATGGTAACCTATGGAATGGAGAAAAGGAACAAAACTGAGCACAAACACTGTACAGCACATAAAAAGCAGGGGGGTTGGATTGCCGAATGGTTAGCGCAAGCGCGCTGTATCATAAGGACTGTCATTGAGTCAACTGGCATGGTTTCCATTCCCCAGTTGTACTTGACAAGGAGTAGGGTCGCCTGTCCAACCTAGTGGGTATTCTCCGGGTCCTCCCACTGCTAAAGACCCCTATGCGCAAGTGAATTATTGATATAGAGTTGAACCATATGTTAGTCCCGAAATGGTCTAGTTTGTGTCGAGTGGACGTTAAACCCCATTTCTCTCTCTCTCATAAAAAGCAAATGAAGCTTCACCATTGGTAGATTCTTCTCACTACAGCCTGTACTATGGAATGGTACAATAATATCCAAATTTTCGAATACACTAATAATTGTAATACTATGAGGGCGAGATTTGTGCAAAAGCACACATATATGTATAATAATATTATGGCCTTGATTAATTATTCTCCATTGTCAGTATATTAGCTATGGTATGCGTTTATTTGAAAGAAATGAAATGAAATGAAATGGGGTTTAACATCCTACTGTTCTGCTCCTATACTGGGCTAATGAAGATTGGCATACGCCATACAGTGTGCTACTCTTATATCGAATTCCAACTGCCAGGGGATCTTTTACGTGCACGCCAATATATACACGGGACCTCGGTTTTTCGTCCCATCCGGACAACTAGACAGCTGTCCTTATCAGGCCCTCCGTCCTGCATCACTGACAAGGGGGAACCACGCGGGAAAATTTGGATGAACTTTCTCGACCAATGCAGGGATCGAACACCCGACCTCCAGGCTAGCAAGCCAGCGTCTTACCCACTTAGCCACGGAAATTGTGAGAAAAGCAGAAGGGGGGGGGGGGGCTGCGCTGATAATGATAGATGAATTGAACTATAGGTTAATAAACACATTAGTCATATATGTTATCTTATTGGTTAGGAATGGAGTGTGTCTGTTGACAAAATTTGGTAATGAGTCCCTGCTGGTATGCAAGGTATGAGGCATGACCAACCACATGATTAAAATTACGTCAAATTTGACCCCATTAGAAAATGGGTAGCGAAAATCCAAGCGTAGAAAAACACTCGAAATGTGCACGATTTTTAGACACCAGGTAGTTTTGAGAGAACAGACACCATGTAGCAAGTTCTATCAGCCAACTCGCACTAGCAAGTTTGATGGGAGCAGGATAGAGAGAATGACTTTATTTTAATCTATGCTTGTAACTATGTATCCAACTTGATATAAAACTGTAGAAACTGTACTTTTGTTCCTGTCATCTTGTTTGTTAATCAGATGATAGTTTTGGGACAGATAAAAAGATATACACAATGTAAGATGTTAAAGAAACATTTAAAGGGTCTTAACCAGTTAAAGAATTACAAATACATCCAGAGACAATACTAGAAGATCAAGAGCTGTTCCACGATATGTAGTAAGAGAAGAGTGCATGGGTCATAAGCCGGGTAGCACGTCATTTCGGTCTTGAGTCATTTCAGACTCAACACAGACGACCTTTCTGGCTCAGTTTGGCGACGATTCAGACTTACTTGACGACTTTTCGGACTTGGTCTGGTGATGTTTCGGACTCGGATGAATAATTAAAAGACTGTTTAAAATTTGTGTGGTATATTCGTATTTTGAATTGGCCTATTTCTAATAAATTCATCGGCTACTTTTTATATATGTACATGTATTACAGATATAAAGAAATAAAATATTCTTTTCATAAACATTCAACATTGAAAATTTTGCAGTTCCCTGAGAAATCTATACGGTGCTTGATCCACGATTCCACGTGCTGTACTTGATTGCGAACGGTAAATTTTACTTGCATGTCATTATTTTTTTATAAAATCACTGTTGGATTATTATAGATTGATTTGACAGTTGTGTTCAACCTTTCCTTTCAACTTATTTGCGAGTCCGAAACGTCACCTACCCGAGTCCGAAATGTCACCTGCCAGAGTCTGAAACGTCGAGGCCATATTTTTTTAGTCTGATATGTCGTAAGTCCGAAATGACATGTAATCATAAGCCGGATGAGGCGACCGATTTTACAGTATGACCACTTTTCACGTCTGACAGACAACCTATGGTGCTACATAATCAGTCTCTTCCATGCCGCTTTTTACCACCCCCCTTTCAGTATATGGTTGCCGCCATTTGTAAAATTTGAAAAATCATCAGTCTAATCACAAATGACATGCACAACACTCAGAAGAAGACATCTTAATTTTTACGTACCTGTTTTCCATTTCATCAAGACACTTGTATCCAATCGTTCCATCCTTTAACTTGTCAATATCTGCAAAAGTTCTTAAATTAGACGGAGCACGTTTTCCACACAAGATTGTACATTCCTTATCGAGAGACATTAGGAGTGTCTTTTGAATAGCATTTTTTACTTTGTCATGCTCCATAAGTTCTTTTACGAGTTCATCATATGATCCTTGATGCTTGCTTAGAACATCTTTTAGTTCTTTCATCTCTTGTGTGGTAACATTCGGCTTTCCTACATATAGATCTCGGTAATAAAGTCCTGCATTTGTGAATGTGCTGATAACTTTGGCTGTTTCTTCTATAGTAACAGCTTCATGCGATTGTGGATCGAGCTTTTTATATCGATTTGGTAGCGTGATGGTCATCGGTGGCATGGACGGTAAGGCACTCACCCCTTCAATATGAGGCTCATCACTACTACGACATTCTTCCTCTCCAAATTTCAATAGTTTTCTAAGCTTCAGAGAAGCAGCATTTTGAGGAGTAACTCTCAACTCTAAGTCTAATGGAGTAGGCGCAGTGCGTTTTCTACAACAGACTTCGGTGAACACTTCATGGCAAACTTTGATAAATTTGTGACAGTTGTTGATCTGCGTTTCGCAGGTTTTGCAATATTGGAGTACATCACAACATTTTCTAACACTTCTTAGCAATTCTTCATCAAAAAAGTAACCTAATTTGACAAATAAATTCCCATCTCTGGCACGAGATCCATGGACTTTGTACAAATTTGACTGGTGTTTCTCCTTTTTGCAAATGAAGCATGACGCAGACTTCGATCCTGCAACGCAAGCAGAGGCCATTATCGCGTCTGTATCATTCTATGGCCACATATTATTCTTCACATTAAGAAGAGTTCTTAAAAATGGGTCCATGTAGTGAGATTTTGAACGAAAATCGTTGCAGAATCAGCTGAAGTTGAAATGACATGATTTGCCTTTGTTTACTTCCGGTGTGACCGGATTTAGCCGAGTTGCCGAAATACTGGGCGACCTTCGGATGTAGACTATGGTTCCGACTACAGTCAGAACTAGGAGTATAAATAGTATTAATAATAATACTCCTTGGTCTTAACTATCCCGATCGTGCTCTATAGTATGATATGCCTGATCACGACCACAGGTTGATAAGATGTAGGCCTACGTATAGTTAAAGCTAGACCGAGATTCAGATTGGACACATCGGCTACGTAGGCCTACTTTTCCACTACTTCCAGGCAATTTTGATCACAAAAAATCTTCAGCTGTAAATTTTTCGGTTTTCACTAGAGAATAATATTTGATTCGATTTGATTTTTTTTTTTTGTTTTTTGTTTTTTTGTTTAACAAATAATGGTTTTCGCCGATTTTTATACACATCATATTAGAAAAAATGGTTCTCTACAACTATTCAAGATAAGGACCTGAAAATTGCAGGGAACATGCAATTATCAAACATATTCTTCTGCTCTTACGCTCTGTGATATTCCAAAGGATAGGTTGCCAGGGAACGAAACATAGGCCTACACCCACAGCAGCTAAGTCGTCCGAGCAGTCAACAAGAGTTGTCGCATATTTTTTCTATTGTCCGTAATGAAACATTTATAATACACTAAAATCTGATTTAGAGTAACACCTTATTAAGTAATTATCAGAAAATCATTAGAATTTTGGGGGCTTTTAGTTCTGCCCCATGGTGATATTTAGTATAAGAAACATTTAATATCATGAATTTAGCTGTTAAAGTTATCAAAAGTCATTGAAAATCAATATACTTGTTTGTCTCAAGAGTTCAAGACCTTAAACTTTGTTTATCGATCTAAGGTCAATCGGATGATAAATTTGGTCTCTAGAGCGTCCACAAGATTTTTCAAAGTTATCAAGGGCCATAATTGATAACTTAAAACTGTACATTATAATAAAGACCTGAAATTTATAGGGATTCATCCTGAAGGTATTTATGCATGTGATTGTAAAACATATTCTTCCAGCAATTTTTAACCAAAAATAAACGATGGTGAAACTTCAACTCTGAATTACCGGTAGGCCTACTCATTTTCCGGGGTTTTTTTACGGTCGATGACATTAATAAAAATGGTCCTCTAAATCTATTCAATTCAAGATAAAGATCTCAAATTTGGAGGGATTATTCTTGAAGGTGTAAACTATACATGGTGGCTTTTCAGGGAATTCTCATTAGTTCGCTGGTTCACTAGTCCTTCGATATCTATTATTGCCATTTTTACATGCACACCAGTGTGTAAGGACCTTGGTTCTCCATCCCATCCGAAGGGCAGTAAGTTGTTAATTGCCAGGCCCTCCATCCTACACCACTGACAAGGGGGAACCACGCTGGGAAATCAGGATGAACTTTCTCAGCCAATGCAGGGATCAAACACAAGGACCTTCAGGTTAGCGAGCAAACATCCTACTCACTGAGCCACCACAGCTTCCCATTTGTTTCAAGAACAACATACAATGAAATTATATTTTAAGAAAAACTTTGTTTATTAATTTCACAGAATAAACACCATGAACAGGACAAACAAATGTTGAGAATAGCTGTTTGTTTTATTTTTTAATATAAATGGTTAAAATAAAAACTTTTAAGAAAAACTTTGTTTATTAATTTCACAGAATAAACACCATGAACAGGACAAACAAATGTTGAGAATAGCTGTTTGTTTTATTTTTTTTAATATAAATGGTTAAAATAAAAACTTTAATTGTGATCTTATTACTGTATCAAGTTATTGTAAATGTTTTTATTTATAAATAATACAAATATAACTAACATAAAATACATGACCAGTTGTCAAAAACCTTAATAAAACACATTCTCAAAACAAAAAAATATCATTGTTTATCCTTAACACCAACTTGTTTGGGTCACGGTTCATGCCATATTATGGGGGGGGTGTATCTTAAGGCCTGTCATTGTGTCAACTGGCGTGGTTTCTAATCCCTGGTTGTACGTGACAAGGAGTAGGGTCGCCTGTCAAACCTCGTGGGTTTTCTCTGGGTCCTCCGGTTTCCTTCCACTGCTAAAGACCCCTACACGCAAGAGAATTATTGAAATAAAAATTGAACCATATGTTAGTCCCGAAATGACCTAGTTTGTGTCGAGTGGACGTTAAACCCCATTTCTCTCTCATGTCATTTTGTGTATTTATTACCGATAAACCCAAATAGATGAATTTACAAGTCTTCATCCCAGTAAAACATTTACTCAGCACATTCCTAACTTTCAGATTATAAACAGTCCAAAATAAAGTAGAGATTTTTTTTTAAAGATGCATTATGTAAGATTTAGATAAAGAGCTGACAGTTCTTGCTTTAATAGCTTAAAAATAGATAATTAAAAACGAATATATTGAACATTTCAGTCAAATTACATCATTCTGAGTGGAGTTATGGCCGTTTGAAGAATAGTAGTCTATTTTCATTGCTACTGTTATGATAAGTCTCAATTATGCATTATTAAATTAAATTATATTTCAATCCGTTTAAAATCACAACCATCCAATGGAGTACATGTGAATTAATGTCTAATTAATAGTTTATATAACATCTGAGGCCAAAATAAAGACCAGCAATAGGCAGATTTATCTCTTACATAATGCATCTTTAATTAAACATACATTATGCAAAAGCAAAATCGGCCTATTGCAGGTCTTTCTTTAGGCCTGAAATGTTATAAAAACTATTAATTAGACATTAATTAACTTATCCAGACCATAATCAGCTCTCGATGTCAAGGCTTGCCTGCGATATTTGTTAGATTACAGTCCGATTTGCTGCAAAACTTTCCTTCAAAACTATTAGTTTTGTCTCATCGACTTCAGTAATGATGATCGAGGCTAAGCGGAACTTTCATCCACTTAGTTCTCGGTTCATAGTGGATCAATTTGACTAAAATTTTCAGCAAGTTGCCTTTACATTATGTAGTTTTTAACTATTATAGTGAGAACTGCCAACTCGTTATCTAATCTCCCATAATGTATCTTTAAATGTTTGAACCCAAAAGGTTCACCATTAATATTTTCTAGACGACAATAAACAAATGAGATCAGAGCAACCATAACACTTTTATACCATTTTTCCATTTATAAGGCTTACATTTGCTACATGGTAACAAGAAAACACTAATTTTCCAATATTAATTTCTTATTTTAATGATAGGAATTAGAAACAACTTTTAAACCATTAGACTATTGTCATGTGGCCAGCACTAGAATTATTTACAAAAGAACAGACAATTTTTACCACAAACTTCCATTCACATCACATGACTTTTGTGACTACTTTCAATTTACAACACAATAAATTAAATGACTCTCAATATTTACAAAATGAAATGATATTTTACAAGCAATGTAATAATGACCTTAATTGTGAAGATTATGGTATGCAAACTCCACAAAAATATATAAATGCAGAATATGGTATGCAAACTTCACAAAAATAATCAAATGAAGAATATGGTACGCAAACTCCACAAAAATATATAAATGCAGAATGTGGTATGCAAACTCCACAAGAATAATTAAATGAAGAATATGGTAGGCAAACTCTACAAAAATATATAAATGCAGAATATGATATGAATACTCCACAAGAATAATTAAATGAAGAATATGCATACATTTAAGTAAAAATTCCTCACAAAGATACATACACATATTTTTTTCTTCAAAAAATAACTGGTCATTTTTACTGGAATACAGACAAAAACCTTAAAATACACATACATGTATTAGCACATCCAGTCACAGGACAAAATCACAAATTGTGGAACACCAGCCTTGAGGAGGAGTAATATCCTTCAACCCTGTATTAAGATAATTTTTAAGATGTTTAGATTTGTTTTTTTTCAATCTTTAAATGTGATGGAAGGGTTGAGGACTATTGTCCTTGAACCTTGTTATTGGATATTTTATAAGACAAAGGTTGTTTTTTTTTTCAATCTTTAACAGTAACAGGAACAGAAGGATTTGGTCGGATTAAAGGGGGTGGTTGCTGTAGAGTGGGTTTCTGTGGCATCAATCGTCTGTAAAATAAACAAACAGTTTCATATAATCTTTGAATGGCATTTAGCGATTGAACAGCATAACACAACACAGTTCTATGGATTACAATCACTATATTATATCCACAGTTTCATGTTAGAAAGAGTGAGAAATGGAGTTTAATATCCACTTTGAAACAAACTAGCTTATTTTGGGACTAACATTGGGTCTTTAGCAGTGAGAGGAAAACAGAGAACACAGAGAAAACCAACGAGGCTGTACAGGTGACCCCACTCCTTGTCACGCACAAGCGAGGAATCAAAACCACGCCACTTCCACTTTGGCTTGTGGGATATGTTTTGCTTTTTTAATTTGTCCATGCATTCTTGTTACAAATCGTCTATTAAACACTGGATATTATTCAGTCATATCGACCACTTCGCTCACGAAATAAGCCCTCATCGGTTTTGCCGCAAGCCTTCAGTGTCTGTGGAATAACTTACTATTGGAGATACAGAGTTCTCAAACATTAGCTGTGTTCAAACCCAAACTCAAAACCCATACTGAACTATAATTCGCGCTTAAAATTATGAAATGAAATGGGGTTTAACGTCCTACTGTCCTTGTCAGGCCCACCTTCTTGCATCACTGACAAGGGGGAACCACCTTATAATTATGGATAACTTAGTTGAAGGTTTAGTTACTTTATACAATACTTACGAGGTATTTGTGTTGGTTCGTGCTGGTGGTTGTTTTAGTAAAGGTGGGGGAACAGCTGTAATTCCGTTATTCTGTGCTAGAGGAGGCGGATGGGATGCTGTATTATTATTCTCAGGTGATTTATCTACTTCCATCTATAAAATAAAATAACAATCAAATCAAAATAAAATCAATCAAAATCAAAATAAAATGGATTTTAACTATTCTGTACTAACCTGGCTAATAAAGACACACATACACAGTTTTACTCAAACAGCAGTGCTACAGCCTACTCCAACTGTCAAGGGTTCTTTAACGTGCACACCTACATCTACATGATACCGCAGTTTCTCGTCCAATCCAAACTATTAGACACTCCCTTGCCAGTCTTGCTCCACTGACAAGGGGAAGAGAGAGAGAGACCATGGGGTTTAACATCCACTCAAACCACACTAGGTCATTTTGGGACTAACATGGTTCAATTTTATTTCAATAATTTGCTTGCGCATAGGGGCCTTTAGTACTGGGAGAAAACCCACAAGGTTGGGGAATCGAAACCATGCCATTTGACTCAATGACAGCCCTTATGATTTCATGTGCACGAGTCAAACCACTGGTCTATCCATCCCCCCGGGACAAGGGAAAACCTTGATGATTGATCTGCTGCTGACATTTTTTTACCTTAATAGTTTCTTTTTCTTCTTCTTCTTCTTCTTCTTTCACATCATCTGTTCCATGTTCTGCTTCATACTCGGCCAAGACTTCATCCAAATTATAGCGCCGTCGAAAGTTGACAAAGAAACTTCGTAAATGAGCCTCAGTTTTATTGCCAATAACTTCAGCAATAGCTTTAAAATCTTTTCCATATCTTCGTACTCCTAAAAACAAAATTAGTTCATAAATTAAATGTTGTTTAAAGTTCTACTTTTATTGCTGCATCCGGGCTAATGAAGTCTGGCCCCAAGTTCACAAAGAATTCTCAGACTTTTAAGAATTTATTCAAAATTGTTCGCCATATTCTAACTTTTGTTGTTTTAATGTATCAAATACATCAATAAGAAACTATGTACACTCAGACTTCAGTTTTTCTGCCCATCCAAACATCTAGACACAGCTCAACTTATACACTACCTCTGACAATTGTATATTTGTCGTGAAAAAAAAACAAAGGTTCTTCAAGTAATTATTCTATATCATATATTACCTTGTACAGCCAGTAATAATTCTTCTGTCGTCCATCTTGCATTTATTCTTGTATTTCCCTGTTAACAGAAAATTTTTTCTTACTATTTTCAATAATGATACAAAACACTTTTATTTTCACACAAGACAACATCTCCAGCATTCTGTACACAGAGAACTAAATACTTCGAGAATAGACCTCTGCCCTGAATGGCCACCATATCTAATAATTAGTATATTTTGAAATGCAGTCATACACACAAAGACTATTAAACCTTTTCTATTTTATTGAAAGGCAGCAGAAGTATACTTAGTGTTTTCACCTAAAATCGTCGATTTAGATCTAAAATGATGGTCAACTAGCTTAGTGTCTTTTCTCAAGAAGAGCTAACTATCGACAGACAGCCTAAGTTTAGTATGCATCTCCAGCTTGATGGCCTTTTGTCAGCTCCATAGAATTCACAGAAGTAAGGTCAGCAAGAAGTGATAAGACGGAGAAATGGGGTTTAGTATCCACTTAACATAAACTAAGCTACTTCGGGACAAAGATGGTGTATCATCATTTCAAGAGGCGACCCTAGTCCTTGTTATAAATATTATATTACCTCTGGCGGTCTGACATTATCTATACCACAAGCTGTCTTCTGTTTCTGTAAACTTATCATCTGTTTATTCTTCTGTACCTATACAAAATTTAAGCAGTCAAAATATAAACAGTCAAAATATAAACAGTCAAAACATAAACAAAACATAAACAGTCAAAATATAAATTGCCAAATATAAAGTCAAAATATAAACTGTAAAATTTATAAACTGCCAAAATATAGTCAAAATATAAACTTTATTTTATATCATTATCAGGTTTATTTATTGGTTTAAGAAAAGGGAGACAAGAAAGCCGAAGAGTCAGCTACTGTTGTCAATTAACAAGTCAAGTATCCTATTATAAAAACAAACATTCTGCTGAACACAGGACTACATTATATTGTCTATCTCTAATTCATTTTGTTAGTATTGTTTTATTTATAGTCTGTAGACGCCTAAATAGTCAAGACTAATAACAGCTATATTTAGATATAGGTCACTGTAGTTATATATAGTGAGGGAAAGGATATTTGATAACTCTGTGAATAGTATGTTGACAGACTCTTTCTAAGTAATAATATTGCTATCTGCCATATATTATGTTTAATTTTATAATTTAATAGAAACCCATGTCTTGTTATTTAGCATACTATTAGTGAGTTTATATCCCTATTGTATAAGCTATTTTGGTGGAAATGTAACATAATACATTGTCTAATATTATTGAGTATTATTATCTCCCCTTTACTTAAATAGCTGAATTTGAATATATAGCATGCAATTATAATTTATGTGCATATCCTATAACTTATTAAACGTAACTAAATAATACTTTTGTATATTAACTTAATCATAAATCACATTATGTCCATCTGTTAAATAATGTTGTTTTTATATTGTTGACAATGTATACTTTGTTTACATAAGGAGCGTATAGTTTATAATTTTGCATGAACTGAGAATAATTCTGGTAATCAATGCCATCCTGTCCAGACGGCCAGGCGAACATGTTACCCTGCACTAGTACCCTGGGTCAGTTGTTCCCACTGGGATATCCATCTCCATAGTCGAAGCGAAGCTCTAGTAATTACACCTATAGTTCTTGAGGAATGTTCTTTGAGCACACAGCCTTTAGATGCTTGCATCTAATGAACAGACTTTAAACTGCTTGCAGTTTAAAAACAGATACAGCCTTTAGATGCTTGCAATTGCATCTAATGAACAGACACAGACTTTAAACGCTTGCGTTTAATGCAAAGATACAGCCTTTAACTGCTTGCAGTTAATGAACAGTATAGCTTTTAGCTATTACACAGAACAGATCACAGAACGGCTTGAACTGGGACAGTTCGCCTCTTTATAAATAGTATAAAAGAGTTTTCCCAGTCCATTAAAACTAACCTGTATATATGTTATAATACATAATAAAACTTTATAGATTTATACAGTTTTGTTCCAGTTTGTTCGAAGAGAGAGAGAGAGAGAGACGAACATAGCACAACTACTTTTTAGCTAGTACACCGTCTCCTCTGAAGAGGCTCTACTTTAAACGGCTTGTGATCGGCCAATAGATCACTGGTGGCAGAGAAATTACCGGGGTGTGGGTCCTGAGCACAGTAATTACAGGGGTGTGGGTCCTGAGCAACCAATGCGGCAGATTCCCCACACTACCAAACCGCTACACCATTTTGTGGCGATAGACAGAAGAAAAAGAAGTAAAAAGCTCGCCACACTTGTTATATCTTTATAATATCTTTATAAATATTGAATGGAATGGAACCATTATTGGACAGATATTCAACTTTCCCAATAGATATTCAACTTTCTCAAATGACCTCACAGGCTTTAATATGAGTATAAAATATGAGAGAGAGAGAGAGGGTTTAACATCCACTTACAAACTAGGTCACATAGTTCAATTTTATTTCAATAATTCGCTTGCACATAGGGGTCTTTAACGTTTGGTCACCCAACCCTGCTCTCAAATGACAATCAGAGGGCTTTAATATGAGGGGAGAGAGAGAGATAGAGAGAGCACCCAACCACCCAACAACACCGAAAGAAGTAATTTAAATGTGTATTTACTTTATTGAGGCCTACCTGTTGTTTTAGTGAGACCAGTTCAGCATCTAGAGACTTCAACAGACTTTCAGGTTGACCGGGAGGACCCGACACCATCGCCATAATATCTTCTTGGTTTAAATACATCCCTCGAGGTGGACGGCGTTTATGTTTTATAGGGGTGTGACGATTGTGTGACTGAGATTCGTGACGCCGTAAATTAGCTGGTTTCATCGCCCCATGTCGCCTGAAGAAAAGCAATGAAATATATGGGTTTTCTAACTTACACAGACCTATTATCTATCACATGGCTAATATAGCACTGCTCAATACATCTGCTGCTATGTAGTTGTTCGGATTGGATGAAAAACCAGGATCCCATGTCCAGATTGACGTGCACATACAAGAACCCTTCGCCGTTGGAATTTAAATTAAGAGTAGGCATTAGTGTCGTTGTTCGGGCAAAATTTCCCTCATAGTCATAGCACATGGTATGGCATATGCCTGTCTTCATTAACCCAGTTCGTGCAAAACAGTAAGTCAAAAAAAAAATGAAATGAAATGGGGTTTAACGTCCCACTGTTCTGCTCCTAACCTGGGCTAATGAAGACGGGCATACGCCATACAGTGTGCTATGAGGGAAATTTTGCCCGGGCAGCGGCACTACGGCCTACTCTTATATCAAATTCCAACTACCAAGGGATCTTTTATGTGCATGCCAATGTGTACACGGGACCTCGGTTTTTCGTCCCATCCGAACGACTAGACAGCTGTCCTTGTCAGGCCCTCCATCCTGCATCACTGACAAGGGGAAACCACGCCAGAAAATGTGAATGAACTTTCTCGGCCAATGCAGGGATCGAACATCCGACCTCCAGGCTAGCGAGCCAGCGTCTTACCCACTTAGCCACGTGATCCACCAAAACAGTAAGACATTAAACCCTATTTTGCTATTGCAGTGATCGAATAGGTTCTTTTGATTGGCTTCTTGATCAACAAAAAATAATTAAACTCTGTTAAAAGTCCTGAGGCTTAACCCATTGGCACCTGTACTAACAGAATCTCTGGATTAACCCTTCAGTACTTGGTACTTGCAATCTGATTTAAACACAGATCCTATTTCGTTTCGTTTTTATAGTTCAAAATTTCGTTTTACTTGTCTTTACTACACTTGGATCTGGAAGAGTTGTTATTTAACTCGTGTTCAGAATGGTGTCAGGGATAAACCAATGAAGCGGTCTGTTACGGCGAGCTTTAGGCGTGTTCTGCACGGAACTGTGGGTAATCCACTAGTAACATCAATGCTAATTGGTTAATCAAATGTCTGACATCATAGGATCATAACTGGGTCTTTTGACCCCTGACGTGAACTCCCACTATAACTTGTCATATCTTCATGTAGTGTAGGCTATTGAAAGTATAAAAAACGAAACGAAATATAGATCTGTATTTTAATCAGATTGTGGTACTTGTAAATATTGACTACCCCCAGTTCCCTGAAAAAACTACAGGAAAGTTATATTCACACAGCTTGGGAGCATATCAGATTCTTTGACTATCGTGAATACCAAATAACATGCTCTCCATGGACGTCACCATGTCTAATTTGAGTGTGTTTGTGAAACAACCTCTGATTGGACGCTACTGTTCATGTGTCTGCAGTAACGGGAGATAATGTACCTAAGTTCGGGAATCGTAAACCAATCAAGCAACGTCCAGATGTTGTAAAACTTGTAGTCATTGCTTCAGGAGCATGCTGCAAGTTCTATAAATAGTTTACAGTTATTCACATGACTTGGGCGGTAGTAACAGGCTGTCCACCAGGAACTAAAGGGTTAAATTGATTTAGTTACCAATACCATACTGGATGATTATATATTAATAGTTAACGTACCTCCAGTACAGATTACAGCCATTACACATAGAACCTTTAGGTGTAACATGTATATGTGCTGTTGTTAAACCACAGTTACAACACGACTTCTTGTCATCTTTCTATAATAAAACAATTATAATTTCCTATCATCTTTCTATAATAATAAACAATTATATTTTCTTATCATCTTTCTATAATAAAACAATTAAATTTTCCTATCATCTTTCTATAATAATAATAAATCAGACAATTATAATTTATTAGCAACCTTGCAAAAATAGTATGGTATATATGTTTCATATTTTAAAGGGAAAGAACTCTTGCTCCATTCAACTACTAGTACAGAGTGACTACCCTGATTAAACTGTAACCTTGAATACTTCATGAAGCCCCTGTTTTTATCAAACCTTATTCTAGCTTTAACAACGCATGCACATTTCAACCAGTTATATCCCTTCCATCTTGAAATTGATTCTGGTAGTTTTGTCTTCGAACGCATGGCTTAATTTGTTTTATTTCTTTGTCTTATTAACAAGAAACATAAAACAATACTGGCCTAGTATTTAATTCGCTGCAGAATGTTATACGCAATTCAGTTAACTAAAATAATTTGGCTAACAACCACCTGTGATTGATTTATGCCTTATTCAATGTTAGATTAATACAATTTTACTTACCCCATTTTCTTTTGCCTCATGTTCACTGTCAGAATTTTCACTTCCATCTTCAGATCCACCATCACTGAAAAAATATAGTTTAACATTTTATTTTAATAACAAAAACTCACTCCGCTTTGGTTCAATAAGATAAACTTAGCAAAATTCAAAAAGTACAACATCTTCATGTCAAAAATATTTACTTTGAGCGGCATTTAGCAATTGACATACGTAATACAAAAACACAATATGGAACGCAATTACTATTTTAATTAAAGCGACGTTTCGTTGAGGGTTACAATATAAAGCCACTGCGATAGGTCCTTTGCATCTAATATTTCAGTCCCGGTCTTCTGGTTACCTTCCACAGCTAAAGACCCCTATGAGCAAGTGAATTATTGAACTAAAATTGAACCTTATGTTAGTCACGGAATGACTTAGTTTGTGTTGAGTGGACATTAAACCCCATTTCTCTCTTTTGATTTTTCCCGTATTAATCGGCACTATCAACGGTAGATCATCTCTCAACCTGAATTCAATCAAATTATAAAGTCAAAGAGATCGATTAAAATATTTTTTCAAAACTTACAAGTGTCGCTGTAATGTTTAAATATCGTCTGAAGATAAATAAACCATGCTAAAGATTCAAGTTTTACTATATTGAAAATTCAAAGAGAGAGAGAGACAAATGGGGTTCAAGGCCCACTCGATAGAAACTATGTGATTTTGGGACTAACACATGGTTCAATTTCATTTCAATAATTCGTCTTTAGCAGTAGGAGGAAATAGGAGAACACAGAGAAAACCCACAAGGTTGGACAGGCGGGGAATCTAAACCACATCACTTGACTCAATGACTGACCTTATTATATAAGCGCAATCCTTAAAGATACATTATGTAAGATTTAGAAAAAGAACTAGCCATTCTTGCTATAATAGTTCAAAAGAAGATGATGTAATATGAATAATTTGAAAATTTCATTCAAATTACTCTATTGCAAGCGAAGATATTAGCCTTTGAAGGTTTGACAGTCGTGTGCAATAATTTCAACCACTGTACTGGTGGATCGAAGCTAAGTCTCGTTCCTCCATATTTGATTAAATCAAAGTATCGCTGAACCATTCTAATCTATTTAATATCGGAGAGATCTGATGCCATCGAGAGTTGATTAAGGCCTGGATCAGTTAATTAATGTCTAATTAATACTATAGAAAACATTTCAGGCCTAAAGAAAGACCTGCAAAAGGCAGATTTAGCTCTTGCATAATGTATGTTTAACCATTTGGCCACCCAATCCCTTTGCTTTTAATGGGAAGGTAAGGGTTAATTAATACATACCTATCATCATCTCTGGGATGCGCATGTTTTCTAGCATGTTTATCCATTACACTAGTACGAGATCGGGTTTTCTTCCAGGAATAATAATATTTAACTAGACTAGCAATCGATTTATCTGGCAACTAAAATTAAAATAAATATCTTTTTAATTAAAAGTCTTCATGGTCAACAATATTAAGATGTTTAACCAAATGAACATTAGCATGTTCTGCATAAATCGAACAAATTTCAGCTTCAGAACTGAAAGAGCCTGTCTACCACCACTTTCACTGGTAAGGTAAGACCATTAAATCTTTCTATTATGAATTTTAATTTTTGACATTAGATACTATTATTGCTCTGGTAGACTGGCCCTTTAAGTTATGAAGCTGAAATTTGTTTAATCTATGCAGAACACGCTAGTGGTCATTCAGTAAAAACATTTTAATTTACTATGGAATGCTTACCGAGTAACGTATTGTTAAATTTCGACCATTTATTTTAAGATCGCCGGGTCACACCCCGCTGTACTTAATATTGATCTAAAATAATTAAAACGTGTACATACCATTTGTCTTATTCTGTGAAAACTTTTACCATGAAAACTAAAAGCTTGTTCAAATAAAACTTTATCCTCTACAGTCCAGTCATCAGGTAATGGCAGAAAATTACCCAAATCTTTTAAAGCCTTCTCTACATTATGTTTATGAAAATATAACAGTCCTAATGCCTGGAATAATAATAAAAAGATTGGTTGCCAGGCAATGAAACATACGCCCACATAAAAGCTGTGATATTTTTATTCCTTTTTGGGTAATGGGTAATGGCGTAGGAGGGAGGAGGAGGAGAGGTCATTTCGGGACTAACATGGGGGTTCAATTTTATTTCAATAATTCACATGCACATAGGGGTCTTTAGCAGTGGGAGCAAACCGGAGGACCCGGAGAAAACCCATGAGGTTGGACAGGCGACCCTACTCCTTGTCATGTACAACCGGAAATCGAAACCATACCAGTTGACTCCATGACAGACCTTATGATGCAACGTGCATGCACTAACCATTCGGCCATCCAACCTCCCTTGGGTAATGGGAGTATTTATAAAGTGATCAAGGGCAACAACTGCTAACAATCCATGAAGTAATTATCAGAAAGACTTGCAGTTTTTTCCAGTTGTAAAACAACCAGCGGCTGCCAGGCAGGATACGCCCACATTTTCGAGAGATGGATAGAAAACAAGCTAACAAGAAAGTGATTTCTCCTACAATCAAGGGACATAATTCAGGAAATTACAATTCGATATGCGCATATATCGAAAGGAACTGAACGAACGGCAGCCATTTTGTCTGTCAATTTTGAGCCGATTTTCACGAAATTCGAACTCAAGTCGTCCTCAGGGTGTAACGGTGATATAATAATACGTTTTTTAAAATCGGATAAAAATTATGACCTCTATAAGATCCAAAAGCTAAAAACGCAATTTTTCATACAATCAGGGATCATAATTCAGGAAGATACGGTCCGATATGTGCGAATATCGAAAGGAACCAAGATCTTTGGGTTATAAACTTACATTTCAAGTTTCAACAAAATCGGATAAAAATTGTGACCTCTATAGGGTCCACAACCTTGATATAACATATTCTTATGCTATTCCAGAACGAACGGCGGCTATTTTGTCTGTCAATTTTGGGCCGATTTTCACGAAATTCCAACTCAGTCGTCCTTAGGGTGTAACGGTGATATAATTATACGTTTTTTTAAATCAGATAAAAATTATGACCTCTATAGGGTCCACAAGCTAAAAACGTGATTTTTCGTACAATCAGGGGCCATAATTCAGGAAATTACGGTCCGATCTGCGCGAATATCGAAAGGAACCAAGATCTTTGGGTCATAGACTTATATTTCAAGTTTCAACAAAATCGGATAAAAATTGTGACCTCTATAGGGTCCACAACCTTGATATACCATTTTCTTACGCTATTTGAGAACGAACGACGGCCATCTTGTCTGTCAATTTTGGGCCGATTTTTACGAAATTCAAACTCAGTTATCCTTAGGGTGTAACGGTGATATAATAGAACGTTTTTTTAAATCGGATAAAAATTATGACTTCTATAGGATCCACAAGCTAAAAACGTGATTTTTCGTACAATCAGGGGTCATAATTCAGGAAGGTACGGTCCGATATGCACGAATATCGAAAGGAACCGAGATCTTTGGGTTATAAACTTACATTTCAAGTTTCAACAAAATCGGATAAAAATTGTGACCCCTATAGGGTCCACAACCTTGATATACCACATTCTTACGCTATTTGGGAACCAATGGCGGCCATTTTGTCTGTCAATTTTGGGCCGATTTTCACGAAATTCAAACTCAGTTATCCTTAGGGTGTAACGGTGATATAATAGAACGTTTTTTTAAATCGGATAAAAATTATGACTTCTATAGGATCCACAAGCTAAAAACGTGATTTTTCGTACAATCAGGGGTCATAATTCAGGAAGGTACGGTCCGATATGCACGAATATCGAAAGGAACCGAGATCTTTGGGTTATAAACTTACATTTCAAGTTTCAACAAAATCGGATAAAAATTGTGACCCCTATAGGGTCCACAACCTTGATATACCATATTCTTACGCTATTTGGGAACCAATGGCGGCCATTTTGTCTGTCAATTTTGGGCCGATTTTTACGAAATTCAAACTCAGTTATCCTTAGGGTGTAACGGTGATATAATAGAACGGTTTTTTAAATCGGATAAAAATTATGACTTCTATAGGATCCACAAGCTAAAAACGTGATTTTTTGTACAATCAGGGGCCATAATTCAGGAAGTTACGGTCCGATATGCGCGAATATCGAAAGGAACCAAGATCTTTGGGTTATAAATTTACATTTCAAGTTTCAACAAAATCGGATAAAAATTGTGACCCCTATAGGGTCCACAACCTTGATATACCATATTCTTACGCTATTTGGGAACGAACGGCGGCCATTTTGTCTGTTAACTTTGGGCCGATTTTCACGAAATTCGAACTCAGTCATCCTTAGGGTGTAATGGTGATATAATAGAACGTTTTTTTAAATCGGATAAAAATTATGACTTCTATAGGGCCCACAAGCTAAAAACGTGATTTTTCGTACAATCAGGGGCCATAATTTTGGAAGTTACTGTCCAATATGCGCAAATATCAAAAGGAACTGAGATCTTTGGGTTATAAACTTACATTTCAAGTTTCAACAAAATCGGATAAAAATTGTGACCTCTATAGGGTCCACAAGCTAAAAACGAGAATTTTCGTACAAACAGGGGCCATAATCCATGAAGTTTCGATCCGATACATGCCAATATTGAAAGCAGCCGAGATCTTTTGGGGATAAACCTATATTTCAAGTTTCGTTGAAATCGGATAAGAATTGTGACCTGTAGAGAGTCCACAAACAATTGTGGACGGACGGACGTCCGCACGGACAGGGGCGACGGCATAATATGTCCACATGAAAATGTGGGCGTATAAAAAAACTATGTACTGGTAATCAGATAACTGTAGTTGTTAGATTCATCAAAAATCTTTTTAAAAATTAATAGGCTTCTTTTTCCACTGAACAATAGCTTTTAGCTCTAGAGCATTCACAAGATTTTTCTCATTAATCAAGGGCTATAACTCCAAAAGTAATTATTGAAATTCGATAAGAAATAGGATTATTTATCTCATGAACATATACACTGTACAAATTTCAACTTTGAAGTCAATAAGAAGACATCTTTAATCTCTAGAGATTCCATGCGTAATTGTGGCAGATGAACCGTCCCACATGGCATGGGTGACAACAATGTTGGTGTATAAAAACCATTAAAATGTCAAGAACACTGATAAAAAAAAATTACTCTACACAATAGTCTACATTTTGATATAATGTACAAACCTGTTCTGTATTATACCCATGCTTCTCTTTAGCAATAATAGTATATTCATCAACTAGAAAAAAATTCAAAACAAAATTTAATATTAATGATAATTATCTTGACTACAAAATATCAATAACATTGCTCATTCTCTTTTTAAAGTAACATAAATCCTGCAAGTTATCAGAGCACACTATATGGATGCATCAGGTTGAATCCTGATATATAGAGTTCACAAGATTTTACAAAGTGATGAAGGGGCATAACTCTAAAAAATAAACAGGAAATGTCTAACATGAAAATATAGGTATCTTTGTAAAGAATACAAATTTTATAAAATATTTGATAATAAACTAAGGCTCTTGTGTATGGTACGTAGAATTGTACACGCAGAGTTACTGACCAGAGGGATATTCACTTCATTGAAGTAAAAGGAAAAAAAAAACATACCTTTTGCTTCTGAGATAGTTGTACTAGGAGTCCACACTAACCACGGCTTTCGGGGAAGAGAAGGATCTTTCCTTCTTCCATCATCATCACCTTTCATTTTCGAATCATCATCATCACTCGAGTAATATTTTGAATCTAGAAAAATATACAAGATCTTTCATTTGGGTCGAAAATAATTGTTGATTTCATGGATTTACCTATTTGTTGAATATTTTACAAATTATTTTTTTGACACAGTAGGCCAAAAATTAAAACAAAGTTAGGTTGCAAGGCAACAAAACATACAACAATGATAGTAATCAGAAATAAATATGCTTCATTTACAAGATATTTAAAGTGATCAAGGGCCAAAACCATGACAGTAATTATTGGAAATAGTTGAAAATCAACAGGCTTCATTCATAAGATTTTTCAAAGTGATAAAGGAACACAACTATGACAGTAATGATCAATAGGCTTCATCTACAAGATTTCTCAAAGTGATCAAGGGTCACAAATATTAAAGAAATTGTTGAAAATCAATAAGCAATCAGGTTCAAATCAAAAGGGGAGCTGTGTTAAGATTTTGGTTCGCTAACCTGGAGGTCAAACCAAAAAATCCTGATGAACTTTCTCGGCCAACTCAGGGATCGAACATGTGACCTACAGGTTAGCAAGTCATAATGTCTTACTCATTAAGCCACCGAGACTCCTACTCTTCTCAGAGAAATTAATTGATTATCGGCTAGGTGATTCTACTCAATCATTACATCAGGACACACATGTGATTCCCCAATGGCCTGACTTGTACAAGATTGAATTCGGCTGTAGGCCTGTAGTTAATTGTATTTGACCTAGATGTATTTTGTCGGACTATAATAATAAAAGAGATACTAACCATTTGGTGATGATTTAAATAATATATAGATCTAATGATAAAAAAAAAATTGAAAAAAAAAATAAATTATGTACGGCACATACTGTAACTTTAAGTGTTAAAAATTTTAGCATTGGTTTCAATTATAAGATAAAAGATTATGTTCAACATCTATTCCACAAATTATAAATGTTGAACAATCCAAGGGAGATAACTCTAATGATAGATTATATTTCAATAATTAACAGTCCTCACCTGGACAATATTCAGGTATTTCTGCTTGATATTCCTGTCCTACTCGCATCCCATTGTCTGAAAGGTGAAAATACATCATTTTAAAAGAACAATTAGCACGAACAAAAAATGAAGCAGTTGAGCTTTAAGACAAAAATAAATCGCGGTCGTAGTTACAGTTAAGGAAACGCACCCTGATCCGATTCGTCACTGCTATCATCTGAATGCGGGCTAGCTCCCCTCGATCTTCTCCCATTGCGAGATTCTTCATTGTTTTTATCAGCCATGACCATTATTTTGCTCCTCCAAACCTTTCCTCGGATTTTTTTAGTTACATTCAATTAATTTCGCTTTGAATTCGCCACTCGACTTGCAGTGGTGCCCGCTACGAATGGCTGACGGATGCCGACAGAATAATGTGTGCACAGAAAGTAGTTCGTTGATTTACACATCGCACTTTTTGCCAGTTATCTAATTTTGACATATTAAGCTTGTTGATTCATTACTGATATTAATTATCACCATGTTCTGCCTTAACTTCCCATACAAAACCACCTGTTTGAATTTAGTTATGCTTCGTGATCGCGGAAGGATATAGTTACCGCTTATTAGTGCACTTGTAATACAAATCATGCAATAGCAATTGGTTTTTATTTTGTCCCTTTCCCAATTCTAACTGAAGGCAACGACGATTTTGCTGTAAATTTTGCATTATATTTATTGTAATTCACAATCTAGGAGTCCTTTAGGTACCGCATACCTGCTTTAAAAGCATAAAAAGATAATTTTTGATAATACATAATTTATCAAATATGGGTCTATTTTGAAAATCTATGGCTATTCTTTGTACATTTTCATCCTCTCAGTTCGTTTTCTGTCGAAAACCTTCAAATATATATGAAATTCACACCACAATACAGCATAATGTGGTGAACTCCCTGAAAATACGTTGGTTTTATTTTCATTGCCTTTGTTTACAGCATGGCCGCCTCATGTTCATTTTGGGCTTCCATACTTTCGTTCTTCTCGGGAATCGACGGTTTTGTATTAACCGATTTTTTTTTTTTATGTCCAATGTTAACAATGCTTATGTTTATCCGTCGCCGCCGTTACAGAAAGGTTGGCATTTATTTTGAGCAGCAGATGATGAGATGAAATAAACGAATGGTTAAACATGGTTGTCTGAAAAAGGCCCTATTCATGAAGTATTTTGGGACTAGGAGGCTATCGCTCTATTTTGCTTGTCAATTGTCGTAGAAAGTGTTTTTGTTTCACTGTATTTGTAACGACTGCCCTAATTATGGGCCACATGTGGTAAGGATACCTAGAATTAGGTTAGAACGATTAACTATCTGGACCTGAAATATCTTGTAGTGGAACGGAGAGAGGCATGAAATATTATTTTTATGGTAACATGCCGGGAAATTCTAGGAAATGATTGAGGTGATGGAAATTTAACTATGCCAGGAGATAGAATTTAGGCTGAGCACATGGTTAACTCAAGGCTTTTCTCCTGGCGGCCGTAGCAACAAAAAAACAACCTCGACCAAGGGGCGGAATAGATGCCAAAATTATATAGGCCTACCCCCCCCCCCCCCACCAAAAAAAAAAGAACGGAAAAATTAGAAAACAAGGTGTTGCAGGCCTATCTGACTCTTCACTCACCACTAACCGTTACAATAATCAACCAAACAAGTCAAGGAAAACAGTGAGACGCACACTTCTGAACGTCACCCGCCCCATCCCAATGCTCACTCATGAATAACCGAACAATCTATATTAGGCTATAGTTTAGCCTATGGCTATACTACAAAAAAAAAAACAACAAAAAAACACTGATGTCCATAGAGCGTAGGCCCTAAATATAATAATGTCATACTGACGCTAATCTAGCGAGCCGTGCTGACAAAGCAAGGTGTTGTTTCGAATTAATCATGAGGCCCGGTGTTCCATCCATTCCGGTGATAAAGATCTCCGTGATTTTGCAGCATGTTTTTCCCTTGCCAGTGGTGAAGGACAGATGACTTGAAAAGGAAGGGCGTATAGTCAGTTGTCCGGATCGGACACGTTAGCGTGTACATAAAAGGGCCCTTAACAGTTGGAATTAAAGGCCGTATAGCTCTAATCTTTTGAATCTTAAAATAGATAAAATTGGTCCAAAAAACACATTTTTAACTATTATAGTGATAACTGCCATCTCTTTATCTAATCTCCCATAATGTATCTTTAACAAACATTTATAAAAAAAGATGGATGACAGAATGTTTAAAGCCCCGATGCGCCTTTTTTAGCGCTATATATGGAATCCACCTATCTCTAGGAATATCGGTCCAAAAATAGTTCGGTTCCGATCAATATTTGCAAAGCTATGTGGAATTGAAATTTCATCGATCTATACCAAAGTGGAATGATCAAGCAAATTTAACTGCCAAAGCCGTGCTTTAGATCTCCCCCTATCACAATTTTTAATACCATTTACCGATTTTAAGTCTTTCATAAATCATTTCATTTATGGCCGCTGACATCTATTACGGGATCTGGAAGTCTTGCAGGCAATTTCATCACATTAAGCCTCTCTTGGGAGATTGACCAAAAAAGGTCTAACAGGAATGTTGAAGTTGTTTTGTGTTACTTTCGCATGTTATGTAAGGCTTCTTTTTAAACTCACATTTTCGTCTTGAAGCGAGGGCCTCAACCGGAATGTGAACACTGTCATGTTCCTGATGAAATGCAATGGGGTTTAAGACCCTATTGTTCTGCTCCTACTATGGGCTAATGAAAACGAGCATATACAGTGTGCTATGATGGAAATTTTGCCGAGGCAGCGGCACTATGACCGACTCTTATCTCGAATTCCAACTGCCAAGGGCAAGGGATCTTTAACGTGCACGCCAATGTATACAGGGACCTCGGTTTCTGTCCTTGCCAGGCCCCCTGTCCTGCACCCTGTGACAAGGGGGAAACCACGTCGGGGTAATGTTCCTTTAGAAGTGAAACACATTTTGATATGAGTGCAAGTACATCAATAATATCAAAATATTACCGTTGCTAGTCTTTTTTTACAGAATTTATTTGCCCAGTCGGATATTGTAAAACGTTAGACGTTTTAAAAGAGGCATAATCCATTTTAATTGTAGACCTATATATAATTATAATACATATATCATTTCATTTTTTTATTTTTATTTTAAATATTTGTATTCATAGTTCTTTTTATTTTTAATTTCAAATGAAATGAAATGGGGTTTAACGTCCTACTGTTCTGCTCCTATACTGGGCTAATGAAGACGGGCATACGCCATACAGTGTGCTATGGGGGAAATTTTTCCCGGGCAGCGGCACTATCGCCTACTCTTATATCGAATTCTAACTGCCAAGGGATCTTTTACGTGCATTCCAATGTATACACGGGACCTTGGTTTTTTGTCTCATCCGAAGGACTAGACAACTGTCCTTGTCAGGCCCTCCGTTCTGCACCGTTCTCGGCCAATGCAGGGATCGAACACCCGACCTCCAGGCTAGCGAGCCAGCGTCTTAACCACCTAGCCACCGTGGCTCCAAGCCTTGATATTTGTTTTTATATGTTTGGCGCAATATATATATATATACATTCATTTTGTTGTCCTCGACAATTTATTGGTAGACCTTTTTTTTTTTTTTTAAATCGGATTGAATCCAAACTGGAACATTATTTAGCGTTAGTATTTTGATTTTGTTTTTTTTAACTAAAAATTAAATAATTAATCTTAGTCTGCATATATTAGCGTGGATTAAGCCGTGAGCAATTTGATATTTTAGCGAGAGAGAGAGAGGGGGAGAGGGGGGGGGGGTAACGTCCACGCAACACAAACTAGGTCTTTTCGTGACTAACATAGGTTCATTTCTTTTTTCAATTATTCGCTTGCGGGTAGGATCTTTAGCAGTGGGAGAAAACCCACGAGGCGACCCTACTCCTTGTCACGTACAACCTGGGAATCGAAACCACGCCGGTTGACTCAATGACAGACCTTATGATACAACGCGCACGCGCTAACCATTCGGCCCCGACCCCTATATTACAGCGAAAAATGTGTTACACAGTATTAAGCAGCTATGGTTTTTATAATTATAGCTGTGAGTCGGAGATGAAATGAAATGAAATGAAATGAAATGGGGTTTAACGTCCTACTGTTCTGCTCCTAACCTCGGCTAATGAACTGCCAAGGGATCTTTTACGTGCACGCCAATGTGTACACGGGACCTCGGTTTTTCATTCCATCCGAACGACTAGACAGCTTTCCTTGTCAGCCCCTCCGTCCTGCATCACTGACACGAGGCAACCACGCCGGAAAATCTGGATGAACTTTCTCGGCCAATGCAGGGATCGAACACCCGACCTCCAGGCTAGCGAGCTAGCGTCTTACCCACTTAGCCACGTGATCCCCAAGAGTCGGAGATACAATAAGGATTATTTATCTGTGTTACAACATGTTTTAATTAATTCAGTTAATTAGATAATTAGTCACTATCTCTTCGTATTATCAGATAATAAATATATATGATAGTACCGTACGTTAAATGAAGGCTAATACTTGCAAATGGCTGTTAAATAACAATAAGGTTGTTGATAACACCTTGACTGTTTATAAATGATCTCAGGTAGAAGTATATTTATGTTCCTGTGTCCTGTATTGGTTGTTGGCATTATAGATGTAATAACTGTTAATGTTTGTTCCTGCGTTGTTGAATTAAAGAAGTCAAATCTACAGTCATCGTTATTATTAGATCCTTTGATACTATGTTACAAATGCAAATGACGTATCGTTACTTTAATATTTTTTGTGAATATTCACTTGGGCTTGATCAGTTCAAAAACAAATTTACAATTAGTTGTATGTGCATCAAATTGTTTTCAATCATTCGGTCATCGTTTTGTCTCTGAAAATGCGAATCAAATGGAATTATTTCATCTGGCACATGATTTGGATTTGTATTATGGCTAGTCATTGTCGATGACTCCTCATCGATGTGATGATGCAAAACTTTTTATTTTGGACACAGATTTCAATAATCCGATGTTCAGCAGTGCAACATAATACGGGGGGGGGGGGGTACGTGTAGGATAAAGCACGAGACTGAGGTTATGCTGGGGAAATAAAGACTGAAGAAAATAAACTGAGAAAAAGAGAAACCGAGGCTGGCAGACCGAAGGGTTTTTTTTCTGAAAACTTTCTTCCCCAGTATCACCGAAGTCGAGGACTTTATCTTGCTTATAAACCGTCTATGTTTACATGTACGTAAAATGAGAATATCCCAGAATTCCATAAGAAAAACCTTATATCATGTTTTCTTATGTATGGGAAAAAACAACCCTGGAAGAATAACCCGTAACAGGTTTAAAGAAAAACTTTCAGAAGAATAACCT